CACAACCGTTTGCAAGTGTGATAAATATCCAGTGTCTACAACCATAAATTTCTCCCACCAAGCTAATTAGAGAAAACCACAGTCATATTTATTGTGATCTTCATTGATTTTTGTCTTCCCTCCTCCTTCCTTTTCTCTGGCTTTGAGTCCTTTATTTTATTGTATTGATCCCTGTATTTTGAAGATAGCATCATTCATTACAGCCTCATTCAACATCAAGTACATCTATACAGAGGTGTTGAGCTGAAAGAAAAACACACCAAAAGAACAATGGTACATTTAAAACAGTATCTTTTGTTGGGTTTTATGATATTCCCCCGGAGCTGGTGGTTTGTGTATGGAGATGCTGCTATCTTTGGTCCTGAACAAAGTCAAACAGTGTCATTGTAAAACCTCAGGACACTTTCACAGGACGCTGTTGTTTTTTGACATCACTTGCTGGTTGACAAATTAACTACTGTTACTTTTAGATTAATGCTGAAACAGTACTGCCCCCCTTTCTTTTAAATATCCTTAAGCCAGAAATATGCAGTATTAGAAGTTAAAACACTTACGCAAATCTTCACCGTAACATATATATTTTTACATGTTATTTCATAAGATTCAATGTAGTTTATTGCCACATTGATGTAATCAGTGAGTAGTGATTAGTAAAAAGATATTTTCTGGAAAAAAACTAATTTTGATTATCTCTGTAGCCCTCATAAAGCCAGCAGGTCTTTATTAGTATATTATATGAATGGTAATTAATGCTCACACAGTATCTGCAACTACTGGAAATCAATGTACTATACTGTGATCATTGGTATTACGACATGTAATTTTACAGTGGCACACTGAAGACTTTGCACCTGTGTGCCACTCTGTTATGCATACAAAAAATCTAAAAGGAAGAAAAGATGCCCTTAATGTGTCAAAGTACAGTTTTATTGCTTGCTTAATCACCTGAATCACAATATAATATTGTCTTGCCTAATTAAAAAAACTAACAGTGTATTTGTGTGTTCATGGTGCATTTTTGGCACTGATCTTGCGGACCTAATTATTTAGTTCCTCTTTAAAGAATACTATCAAGTGCGGTAACTTGCAACTTGGCAACAGAACCATAAACAAACATGTCTTACAGCAGATTACATATGGACACAGTAGTAATCAAGCCTGCTTTTATTTCTTACAATTAAACACAATGTTTAGCTGTGTATGCTCCTGTAATATATGCTGCAAGGATGTAAATGATGTATGAACAATCCAGGAATAAGCGGCGGTGCCCAAAGCTGCAGCTGAGGCATATTTTAAATCAGAAATGCTAAAAATGATGACACTAACTTGTTTTACTTATTTGCTGTTTGACAGAGAAGACGGGTGTTCAATGTAGTTAAAACAAATGGGGAAAGGGAAGACTGCAAAATGGATCTTAAAAAACAGCAAATACTGGGTGTGAAATCCACGGCATGTCCACCCCTAACTGCACTGCTAACACTGCCACCTCTGGGATGATCTCCTTCCATCAAGTACAGACACAAACGCACACATGCAGAGGATTCTTACCCTGCGGGTACAGAGCTCAACAGCTGACAAAGTGAACAAGGATGGACATGGACACACACACACACACACACACACACTGAACTGCATGCATACGTACACATAGTCACACAATTATGCGTGAATGAGGGTGCAAGAGAACACACACACATTATGAAATCGAACGCACATTTTACAGACACATGCAGCCGCATGCTTTGTGTTGGCTTTTAGTAATCATTCAGCACACATACACAGCTCTTAGTATTTGGGCTGTAAATGTGACCTGCCTAGTATTTATTCATTGGGGGACCTTTAAAAGCAAGACGCAGGAGTCTAATTTATAGCCCTGAACTTTACAGCCATGCCAGTCCATTTTTCTCTCTCTGTTTATCACTTTCTGTCTCTCCCTCTCTCTTGTTTCTGTCATGTTATAATATTTTGCAGACTGCCCACACTCTGCTGCTTTATTGCAACATATTACTGTAAGTCAGCCTTCGAGGTCCTGTACGTTTGTTGGATTAAAACCGGCCCCTATTTAAAGATCAGTTTCTGGTGGTTTTGTCATTTCAAGGTACAGGGAAGTATAATAGTTGCATTTTTCCAAATCTGTATATAAGTACAGTATGGATGAGATGTACTGTGCCAAGCATCTGGCAGGACGTAAAACATCAGATAAAAATTACCATAGTTTATTTAGACTTTTCTCATTAAAGTCCACATGCCAGGAAAGAAGGGACCTTTTATTAGATGCAAGTGAAATCGAGAAGGCCGTGTAAATAATGCACACAAGAAATAATCGATTATACACCACAACCTTAAATACACAGGAGTCTGCAAGCTGCTGTTTTCTCATCTGGCAATGACACTAATGACCTGTCAGTTACACAATGACGATGCTCTGCATAGAGCAACAGTCCAGCACTCTTCCATATTTAGACCTTTTTCGTTCGTTGAGAGAGTATTTGAACCAGGAAATAAATATTGTAAAAAGAAAAAACACAGCATCTTAGTATTTCATAGTAAATTATTCTAGTGACAAATTCACAATTCAGCACTTCCTCTATTTTTATTTTATGAAACACTGCAAACAGCCAAGGTGGTATTTTTTTGAATGGCGCTATTTAATTACTGTGCATCATTTTCAAAGTAATCATTTTTGTGAAGGTAATCAATATATAAGTTTGAGGAGCTATGTTGCACCTCCACTGCCTGTGTTATTCTTGAAGTGAGTTTTAAAAGAAAACTCATTATTGTATCTTACTTTCAATGTTGATATTAACTGTTTTCCTGAAATTACTTGGCAACTGTTTTATTGTGCCTACTTTCCCACAACAAGGCTTGCCTAATTCTATTTCAGTCAGTGATTTGTCGTTTACACAATATTTAATTTCAACTGTATTTTGAAGAATGCTCATAGAAAATATGCTTATGAAATAGGTTTACATAATGAACATTATTTCCAGCAGTGTAGGTGGAAAGAGCAGGAGTGCATCTTTTTCCATTAAAGTGTGAAGTTTCTGGCACGGGCGAGACAAAGAAATACAATCCAGGGCATCAAGTTTGAGTAATTAATCCATGGGTTTAAAAGCTCATTAGACACCAAAACACCTCACAGCAGTTTATAGTACTGTGAGGAAGGATTTTCCTGCTTTGGAAAGTTATCAAGGTACTAGCCATTTTATCTTTCATTGCAACGCCAGGTAAACAGTAGAAAGAAAACATTTATGTTGCTTGCATGTATTTCATTGGCAAACACAGAGCCTTAATGGATGTCGTTTTCATTGTGGCAAAGGTTGACAAGGTTCAACTTTTTTGCCATAGCCCTGGACGTTGGCACTTGGCCTCATTAAAATGAATGACAGGGCTGCATTTTGCCAAGAAATCTACCTCTTCTCTTGTCAGCTCAGACCCTTTCTCTCTCATTCCTGAGGGACTGTCCAAACCGTGACACAATAAAATTAAACTTAGTCATTTGTAGATATTACATTTCTTGACATCATCTTTTCTTGACATCATGTCATATGGTATGCATTTGGGAATATTTAGGGGAAAAAAATGTAAACGCTACTGCAAATTGGGCAAAGAAATAATAACTTCAAAACCAAGTTACAAAGTGCTGCAAGTTGCAAGTTTCATAACCTACAACTGTTTGTTAACCATTGTCTGCTGGATTTTTTTCAAAATTAAATCCACTCAAAGAAGAAAATCCTGTAAAACTGTGGTCACATGCACGCACAAACCAAAACCTCTGAACTTAAATGAATTTCGACTTTGTCAGTGCACAGGAAGCACAGATGCACGATCAAGCTTTTGTCCTCACACAAAGCCACATCGCCAATAACGTGTGTGTGTGTTAGTGTGTGGGTGTGTGTGCGCGCGTGTTCATGCAGCATCGCAGTTCAGTCCACTTCAGTCAACACCTCCCACAATTGGACCCAGGCAATGTACATGGCTCAACGCACACATGTACTTGTTGTCTTTCTCATCACACACACATATAGATAGAGCTATCTATCCAGCTATGCCTTTCTTCCCTTGCTCAGATGTATCATCTAGTCTCTGCATAGACTCAAACCTCAATCACCTCTCAGAGTCCCTTGCACAGTTTTGGAGTTTTGTGTTTTTATTTTTAGTCTCCGGTAGCTATCTGACATCAAAATGATAGCTCTTGTCAGCAGAGGCCAGCAAGGCTGGCAGTAGACATGGCATTGATCCCAGACACGTCTTTTAAATGTTATTAATTGCACAATGACTCACTTCTTCCCTTACCTCCTTCATCAACGCCTTCTGTGCCCCCCATGGCCAGCCACATTCTCACACCCCCTTTGAAGGCCTGCTGGCTAATACATGGAGGGAGGTGGGGTATCTCAAATCCACCTGCAGCCAATTGAATAGTAAAGTGTGCTTGTTAAATGAGTATGTCTATAGATATACTCCTCTCCAAAGAATATAGTAACTAAGACAAAAATCTGAGTATATCCATTGGTTAGTTACAGAATAGATTGACTCAAAGGAATCTTCTATTGCAGAGCATCACAGCAATGCACTTCCAGGGCAGCCGAGTCGAACCCATAGCTACAGCCAACCCCCAAAAACCTCACTAATGACGGTCATTGATGACATCTGCTGTACTAAAGGGTGTTCGTTCGACTTTAGTCCCACTGTGGCCATTTTAAACTTCAACACGGAAGAGGGAGCAAGAATAAATGGTTACAATGGTTAGCTAACGTATGTAGCTACTAACCTGATTGGCTTCACTGGCATAATCTTGGGTATGTGCTTATCTTTGGGTCAGACAAAGCCAATAAAAAGGTGAGGGTGTGGCAACAGAAGAGCCCTTATAACCCCTGTCGTACCGCATAATCCCCTCCCACTCCTCCATCATACCTCCCCCCCACACCCCTGGCCTGTGCACGGGATTGTAGCGCTGCTCAAACTAACATGCGCCCCCCTCCCTTGGTGTTTGCATGCAGTCATTGCATCCAGCAGATCCTGGAGGCGGTGCTTCACTGCCATCAAATGGGCGTGGTGCACCGGGACCTGAAGGTGAGTGATGGGGATCACCTTGCTGACCTTTGAGTGTGTGCGTATATATTTATGGGGGTTTGTGAGTGTGCTATTTGTGTAGTCTGTGTATGTCTGATAATTAAATGGGAAACTGTAACGTTTGTGGACATAAAGCCTCAGAACCTTGAGATGGGTTTGAATCATCTCATTCCCTCTGAATTCTGATATAAAATGCAATTGCTCTCTTTGTAACCCTTTATAATACATTTTAAGCCTACATAATAGTTGGTTGTACTGTTAGAAATCTATTTTGGGTCAGAACAACTTTCCCTACTAGAACAGTCCCTACAGCCTATCACCATGAGACTGTCAGGTACCGCCTCCGACCTTTCTCTGGCTCTAGCCTCCAGCTCTCTGCCGTCACCTTCTTTTCCTGTTGTGTAAATACCACTTCCCCCAGTCTGTGGAGACTTCAAGCATGCAGCGCTGGCCATACAGGCTGACCAATGCTGCCGCTCTGTAACCTTTTCGGAACAGGATCTTGTCATTGCACAGCTGGCCATCCAAGATGGCCCAGGAGGATACTTAATCTGACCTCTGGTTAATTTACTAGTCAGAAAAGTGTTAACTATTGATTATGAGACACCCTGTGTGGGTTCGATGCCTTCATAGATCAGTTAATGACCCTCAGCGCTTCAAATGTAACAGCTCATTTCTGTAAACTGCCATTAGTTGACTTGTGATGTTGTGACATTTGTTTATATCGGCTGACTGGCTGGTGGCGCAGTCTTTTTTAGGGTTGGAAACTGAGAGCCAATTGCTAATTTTGAACTGGTTACACATTTCTTAGAACTGTGGGACTACTTATTAGATGTTTTTTGTGGACTTCTATACATATGTTATATCATTTGGTATGCTTTGCTCTGAAGGATTTTTCCTGAGCTTGATATGCAATTTCATTAAGACTGTAACAGCAAGCAGTAGCCTTGTTTTGCTTAGGTTTATTAAGTCTTTAATTTGGCTTAATGCTGAGCTTGTGGAAATGCTTGCCCCAAACAAAGCAGCACCTCAAATATGATGAGCTGTGCGTGAATAAGCGTCTAAACAGATAGAAATCAAACTGTTTCCAGTCCTCTTGCTGTCGTGTACCTGGTCGTGCATTTTGTACGTGCATGCTTGTATGTCGCATCTTGTTGTGCATGGTGCACTTTGTCAAGTAGACCTCTGCTATGCAAATGTCAGTCCTAGCATTCCAGCAAAGGCGTGTTGTGTTATCAGAACTGTTGTGGCTATTTCTTTATTTAGCAGACACGCCTATCTGGTTTCACACCCAAGCGTCGGAGAGCATTTCATGCAATAGGTCATAGTGTGATGACTGAGGATAGCCTAGGTGACAAGATCCCTCAAATTAGGAATTGCGTTATGATAAATGAGATGACACCACAGCAGACATATTTATTTGTTATATATGTGCAATAGTATAAAAAAATGTTCAACTCTTACCCAGCACTGATTATAGTTTAGACGGTAAAATGAGTTAGGGCCAGTTTCTCTTCACACACTACAGCAGCGTGCTTAAATTGGAGTGCCTTCTTAATGGAGATCTACATATCTGCCAGTTTCTCTGAAGGAACAGGTCAGGAATGCCGCAGCGGCTCCAGATCCTCTACAGAGAAATAAAAGGGAAGAAAGAAACACCCACTCATGAACTGCTCTCGATCTTCCATATACCCGCTTGCTCGCTCGCTCGCTCTCCATTTCAACCAAACAAGTTGCTAGTCACCAGTGTGCTCAGCTTTGTGTGCATGTTCAAATTGTATGTGTGATGTGTGTGCTAAGGAGAGGGAAGTACCTTTCCGATGGAAGCTCATGCTTCATCAGAATTTCCACCCACATCCGTTTTCGTGGATTATCTTACTGCTGCAGTGTTGGCAAGTTCTAACTCCCTCATTTACAAAAGAGTAAAGCCTAACCAAGTGATAGAGTGGTGAGAATGTGATGACATGAGGGACACACACCGCCTTAGGATTACTGGTTTGCTCACTCACGGTCTCTCTTTCTTGCTCATTTCCTTCTCTATTACTTATGGGCTCAAAGGCTGTAAAAGCACACTTTTAAGTATCTGCACTTTAAATACAGAGTGTTCCTGTGCCTCTAAACAAATTAGATGAGAGGAGAGAGCAAAGCGAGGAAGGCAGAGGGTGCAAAGACACGCTGCTGCAATGCAGTGACAGAAATGCAACCTAAATATAATGTCCTCATTCTCTCAATGCTCTAAATTTGCGCTAGTGTTGCTGTTTAGAGTGGTGCATTTCAGGAAACAGCTACACAAGCTAATTGGAAAAGAAGGAAGACTTGTATAAGTGACATATAAAGACTGACATTTAGTCCCTGAAAGACAGGATAAAACCTCTTACGTTCAATTAATAGAGGCTCTCAGTAATATGCACGTCAGTATAAGTGCAAGGCTATGAAAAATCAACATTTGTTTGACGTGCAGTTTTTACATAGATATATCCAGTTTAGCCAAAATCATGTGGTAGCATTTTAACTGAAACTGAATAGTTCAGTGTAGCAGTAGGAGTAGAGCCTAGCTGACCATCCAAAGTCTAAGTAGTCATAACTACCTCATTGTTAGTGATTTTTCTGACAAAATGGATATTAATAGTTCCTACCAGAGTGCTTTATTTGTCATTCAAGACAGACAAGACATTTGCTTTTACAGAGGCAATGATTAAGTGAGATGATTGAGAGAGATGTAGAGAGACAAAGTGAGGAGGAGCAGGAGCCAGTGGGGATTGTATCCCATTATTAGAACCCTCTTCTGACAGAGAATAATGAGGCTGGCTGCAATATCTGGGCCACAGATGGAGCCTATAGACCACAGCACACCACATGAGGGACAAAAAAGCACTGCAGACTGGGTTGCGTGGATCCATAAAGCTATACAATAAAAGTTTAGGCAAAACATTCTGCTGAAATGTGGACTGACTTTTATTTTATAACATTATGTGTACACGCAAGTTATTTAAATGACATCTAGGGTTGTGTGTGCGCGTGTGTGTGTGTGTGTGCTGAATACAGTGTTGAAGAATGTATTGTATGAACCCCATTACAATTTTTTTGCATGCAAAGCTATCTACCTCCAACTCCCATGCTGGGACAGAGTAAATGTTTTGTACCCCTATCCTTCAAATGTTTGGTAATCTCATTTCTCTCCTCTTCCCGACTTTAGCCAGAGAACCTGCTCCTGGCAAGCAAATGTAAGAATGCCGCAGTGAAGCTGGCTGACTTTGGCCTAGCCATTGAGGTGCAGGGGGATCAGCAGGCCTGGTTTGGTAGGTACAGCTGATACAGGAGTTAATCACATCTGTTTTTATGTGTCTGTGTGTGTGTGTATGTATGTATGTATGTATGTAAGTATGTATGTATATATATATATATATATATATATATATATATATATATATATATATATATATATATATATATATATATATATATATATATATATATATATATATATATGGACTCATTATATCTACATATATGGACTCATTATATCTACAGTGTTAGAATAAAGTTCAATTACTCTCAGTGGTAAGCAAAGCTCCATCGAACCCAAACAATTTCCAGTGGCCTTAAAGAATGATTATTTAAGAAAAATGTTTGGTAAAGGAATTAAGACCTAATGATAAAACGAGTAATGCAAAGAGTTGACAAAGGTAGTGACTTACGCTACTAGAAAAAGTAAAATCTCCAATCTTTTAATCTGTCTTTGTCTGCACCCTCTTGTGGTCATGGATGATGGAGTGGTAAAGATGTATGCCCCAGAACACTTGCCCTCTTCTTTGTCATCGACACTTTGTAGTATCTTTGTATTGTTTTGCATTTGATAAATGTTGATCTGGTGCCAAGAATGGTCACGCTTTTATCCACTCCCCCTAGTGACATCATCACTGGTGGAGTCTGTGGCTCTCCTCAAGCGAGAGGTTTGCCAGCATTCACAATCAACTGACCTTAAAGCCTCTGATCTGTCTTTAAGATCTCAGTCGACCCTGTGGATGAATAGGTCTTAGCTTACAGAAGATTATCTTGCTTTTTACACAAGCTGATACGAGGAGAGCAGATCCACAATCTGTTGACTTGAGCATGTCAATCAATCGCATGTGAGTCTGTGTTTTGTTACTGAAGGATTTGCTGGCACACCGGGATACCTGTCCCCTGAGGTACTGAGGAAGGAGGCATATGGCAAACCTGTGGACATCTGGGCCTGCGGTGAGTTGCAAAGAGACATGCATTTATTCACACGCTTAACACACACAAAGCATTTCCTAGAAAATTATACACAAACAAAAACAAATTTTCTGTCTGTTTGTTTGTTTGTGTGTGTGTGTACATATGTGGTTTTGTGTGTGTCTCAGGGGTGATCCTCTACATCCTGCTGGTGGGTTACCCTCCTTTCTGGGATGAGGACCAGCACAAGCTGTACCAGCAGATCAAGGCTGGGGCTTACGATGTGAGTCCTCTCCTCTCCTGCTCTCTCATGTATCCCCTCCTCCCACTGCCCTCATTCCTTTTTGGCAGCGGTTACATAACTCAGTCACCTCATTCATATTTCAGGGGGTGCAAGAGAGGGATCCTCACCTTAGATCACATTTAAGACCATGCCAAATAGAGAGAGAGAGAGAGAGAGAGAGGCTGACTGACTCTCTGGCAGGGATTCTGGGCCCACAGGACACAGACCTCGACATTTAAACTCAACATGACCTGATGGGTTTAGAATTTTTTAACAAATTGCTTGGGGCCGTGCTTGGACCGGGTGTCTGATAGTGCTGAAAAACAATTGGACAGGGGGCCACGGTGGCTGGCGAAAGTGTGGGTTCATATCTGGCCTGAGATATATAAACAAATAATAAACACAAATAAATTGGCTTACATTTCACACATAATGTTAAATCAATATGTAAGAAGACTTTGAACTCATCAGGTATAAGCAGTACAGCAATCTTTTTCTTTTTATGGGGTGGACAAATGTCACATTAAAAATGTACCATATCTCACACAGTACTGTGCGTATGTGTAGAAAAATGCTATAAAGTAAGAATGTTTTCAAAAATGACATTTATGAATGATCAAAATGCAAAGTGAGTGAACAGAATAAAAATGTAAATCAAATCAATATTTGGTGTCACCGCCTTCAAAACAGCATTAGTTATTCTAGGTACACTTTCACAAAGTCAGGGATTTAGTTGGCATATCGTCAGGTGTATGATTAAAGAATATAACCAAACAAGTGCTCGTGATCATAAATTCAATTTGTAGGTTGAAACACAATCATTAACTGAAACGGAAACAGCTGTGTAGGAGGAATACAACTGGGTGAAGAATAGCCAAACTCGGCTAACAAGGTGAGGCTGCTGAAGACAGTTTACACAGTTTAACACAGCAACAAGACAAAAGGTAGTTATACTGCATCAGCAGAGTTTCTCCCAGGCTGGAATTTCAAGGCAGACTGGGGTTTTCAGATGTGCTGTCCAAGCTGTTTTTAAGTAAGCACAAAGAAATGGCCACAGTGGTCGGCCAAATAAACTTACTGCAGCAGATGAAAGACACCTCATACTTCCCTTTGCAATCAGAAGATATCCAGCAGTGCCATTAGCTCGGAGATGCATAAAAAAGTGGGACCCTGGTACACCCATCTATTGTCTGGAGAAGTCTTGAGAGAAGTGGCCTTCATGGAAGACTTGACTTGTGGTCAAAAAACCATACCTCTGACCTCTGTGTGCCAAGCGACTCAACTATGCACGGAAACAAAGGAACAGGGGTGCATAAAAATGGCAGCCGGTGATCTGGACTGGTGACTCAAAATTTTTAATATCTAGTTGTAGCAGAAAGCAGGTTGTTCGCCCAAAGCTGGAGAGCGGTACAAGAATGAGTGTCTGCAGGCAACGGTGAAGCATGGTGGAGGTTCCTTGCAAGTTTGGGGCTGAATTTCTGCTAACAGAGTTGGGGATTTGGTCAGAATGAATGGTCTCCTCAATGCTGAGGATTACAGGCAGATACTTATTCATCAATCAGTATCTGAATGGCGCCAAATTTATTCTGCAGCATGACAAGGACCCCAAACACACAGCGATGCCTGGGCCAACCTACCTGTTGAGTTCCTTCAAAAAATGTGTGCAAGTGTACCTAGAAGAACTGATCCTGTTTGAAGGCAAAGTGTGTTCACACCAAATACTGATTTTGATTTTCTTCTGTCCACTCACTTTGTATTTTGTTAATTGATAAATATAATCTATCTTTACTAATCTTACTTATTTCTTCCGCACCTGCTTAAAACCTTTGCACAGTACTGTATGTACACATACATCTCTAGATTTATGGACTTGTAATGGTTTTTGAAGATTTCCATTTATTCATTTAGCTGATGCTTTTATCCAAAGTGACTTACAATTGCCATTTATGTCAGAGGTCGCACGCCTCTGGAGCAACTAGGGGTTAAGTGTCTTGCTCAGGGACACAATGGTGGATGGATCTCTCACACCAAAGGCATGTGTCTTATCCATTGCGCCATCACCACCCCATGTGTGTCAATAAGGGACATTTAGACATGTTTAATAAATGATTAAAATCAAACTGATTTGAACTTGCAAACAGGTGATCATTTTTGGCGGATATTCGGCATCTAAAAAAAGTGCTGACTCTTCCCTACGTATCGAATTCTGTCTTTTAGTTTAGTGTAAATTGTGATGAACAAAATTGTGAATATCTCAAATATCTCAATATCACAATAATTGCTGATTAATTGTATCAATTAATCAACTTATCTTTCTTCTCTACACTGAACGTTAAGACATGGTTCTGTTTGTCCCTTAAGTTCCCTTCCCCAGAGTGGGACACAGTCACCCCAGAGGCCAAAAACCTGATCAACCAGATGCTGACCATCAACCCAGCCAAGAGGATCACTGCTCAGGAGGCCCTCAAGCACCCATGGGTCTGCGTAAGTGTCCCCTGCTGGAGATTGATGAGCAGACAGCAGTTGTTTTTCATACACATTGTTACTCTACTGCAGTGGTTGGATGACAGCAAACACAAAAACCTTGGTAACCAATTTCTTCTAGTCTTTTTTTTCCTCCTCTTCCTAAACGTCACTCTAATTGTCCTCCTCATCCTCTTCCTCTCCTCATCCTGCTCCTTTCTTGTTTTCTTCCTTCTCCCAGCAACGGTCCACAGTGGCATCTATGATGCACAGACAGGAGACGGTGGAGTGCCTGAAGAAATTCAATGCCAGAAGGAAACTGAAGGTCTGTTTGCATGCTCACCCTCTCACACATTTTCTTTAATGGTGTGGGAATATGTATTAGAGCCTTCTCTCCTGACTCTGAAACTGAGGTGAAAAGGCAATGAGAATTGTGATCCAGAGATTTCGTACATGCATAGTATCTCTTCTACTCTGATTTATAGCTTACAATTTGTGTGGACACAACGGCTTAGCCATTGGAGCATGTCAGTGTTACCCTGCTGCTTTTGGCCAGACTTGGCATGGCTCAGATTCCAGCACATGGGAACCTGGAAGCAGAAACGCAGGTGGCTGCAGGCAAATGTTGCACCATTCAACCAACATGCCATCAGCATGAACCAGTTGTCGCTGGCTTTTCACATTTAGAAAAAATGAACACTGGCAAGGCTAGACATTCAATGACATAGTAAATGACAAAAAATGCAAATTCAATATATTTGAGAAAGAAGTTGCCTGTCATTACCAATGTTGTTAAATGCACAAAACATTACATTATGAAGACAATCAGCTAGACGCCTTGTCAGATATTAAGTATATTAAGCAGCCTTTAAATACCATGGTCTATTTGCAGTTCAGTACCATTATAGCTATAAAAAATTTCAGCTCCATTTATAAATGATGTCTCCAGAGAGAAAAAGTGTAGCTGATTCTCGCTCTCTCGCTCTCTCGCTCTCTGGGTTTTTTCTTTTATAAATTTTGATGTGTAGTTTGTAGGATGTTTTATTTGTGGTTGCATCTTAAAGTTTCACCTGCAGTGAATCAGGATTTTCCCAAGAAGATTTAAGAGCTTGGATATTGGTTGAGTCACTTGCTGACAGAGTGGTTTAAATGTTAGTTAGAAGTGAACATCTCTGGGGTTTTTTTGTTTTTTTTCCTCTCAGGGAGCCATTCTTACCACCATGCTGGTTTCTCGAAATTTCTCTGGTAAGTGTTGCCTAGACATAATTCTTGTGTCCTTCATTACTATAAATCTGCCATTTATAGCAGTGAACCAACAACTAACATCAGTTAGTATGCAGTTCATGTAAACATGCTAAATAGGGTAGGGATTTTATTGTCTGCATGCAGTGGTATTGCTATATGCAAATATTTAAGTACTGAGGGAGACTGAAATTTGTGTTGAATATAAGTCTGTAACAATCAGTTTGGTTTTGAGGAACATGCCACCATGGAGGACTCTGTGACTGTTACAAGTGATACTTCACCCAAAACATGACTTTACACCTACGCTGTAAATGTCACAAAGCCTGTATTTGCCTTTGTTCTTTGTAAAGAAGCAAACTACAAACCTTTTTCAGCCGCTTTTAAAGCCTGCCGGGGGTGAGTATTTGACCCTCTGAAGTTACGGTTTGTGAGGAGTATTACTTTAATGCAGAATTTGAACACCATAGCGATGCATTTCTGCTCCCCCCCCCCCCCCCCGGAAAGAAAGAAGCAATTACATCAGACTTTTGCTTTTGCTAGTCTTTTCTGCTAAAGTGATGGCATGTGCCTTGTAAAAACTGGTAAAGGTTAACATTCAGTGACAGACCAATTTGTCTCCCTTGACCAAAGAGATAAACAGTATATTTATGTAAAGTTTATAGAGCATGCTGTAGAAAGCAAAATCACATTTTCATTTCATCTCAGTGCAACTTCCGTGTTTCCCTTTTTGTTATTCAATCGACAGTAATTATACCACACTTTCCATTGTTACCGATGTCCTCACTATGTATGGTAGGCTGCGTCATTGGCACTGCGCTGAACTGCCACTGAAAAAATATGGGAAACACTGAATTTGATCAGCAAGCTGTGGATGTGTTTGTGACTGTCTACTTGTTTTTGTGCATATCTCTGTAATAGACACTCTCTTGAAGGTTTAACGTTGACTTTATAATCAAAGCTAGACAAAAATGATTACAGATGTAAAACTTTGTACATCTGTACCTCCCACCTCTTGAGGCTGCCTCGGAGACACTTTCACAAATTACTTTCTTCGGTCAGGAATTGTATCTCCTTTTTTCCTAATTTATTATATAGACAGCAAGATCCAAAAATCTGTTTGCCCTAATGAGGCATTTTCAGCACTGTTGTGGTCAGTGAAATGAGAGCTCACTCTCAAATAATGATTTTTCCATTTAGCATGCAACGACAAGTCAGAATTATTATGGAAGTACATTTTATTGCTGCCAGGCTTGGATGAAGCTCATTTGTATGCTTCAAATGAGTGACTGATATTCAACTTTAAAGCGATATGTTTTCGCGGTGTAATCATGGAAATGGAAGAATTCAAAACAGTTTCTTAATAATTGTTGAAAATCAGCTCTTTTTTTATGAAATCACCTACTGTATGTGTGTGTTTTCCATATGTGTGTGTGTGTGTGTGTGTGTGTGTGTGTGTGTGTGCGCGCGCGCGAAAGCATGCTGCTTCAGTAAACATGACTCACAGCAGCTACTCTGACAGTGCAAGCTTTGCGATGGGAAATGGTCTGAACATCCACTAAACAACCACTGAACTCTTTAACTCTCCCACACACATACTGACCCCGGCGTGTGGCCTGGCTGTGTCACTGCTCTTAAACACCTTTATCTCGCTCTCTGTCCTCTTGTTAGGAAGTGGTACTCCTTTTATAAGTTTGAGGTCATTCGGTGAATGAGTCAGAGAGGATGAGAAATGGCTAAAAAATAGACAAAAAAATGATAGACCTTCAGTGAAAGTGATGCCGTGGCACGTTACATCAACACATAAGCCATCATCAGTGCTTTACACAACAGGTTACAATATTCTCATCATATATCATGAATCATGCATTATATAGATTAGTGAGTCAGTGTAGCTAACGCAGAGGCGGTTCTCTCTCCCTCCATCTGTTGATGTAATGTCTTGTAGTATTACTAGTGTATAAGGATGAAGTTCAGGTTCAAATAACAGTTTTGAATTATATATCCCCACAGTTTATATCCTCAGTGAAGCCACCATTATTTCACTTTGGTCACAATGTACTGAACTGCCTGGAAGTTAAGATAGGAGTACGCCACCTATTGTAAATTTAAAATTTTACTGACAGTTATTAAGGTCAGTGAGCCCTGCAAGTCTAACATTTACTAACAGTGACTAAATTCTGTATCATCATCCCAATCATCATCGTAACAACTAATGCTATTTCTAGGGATACATAAAGACAAAATGCAAGCATCAAAGATTCTCAGATGAAAGTTGAGTTTGTGTCTCTCACTGACATTTCTTCTGTCAGAGCAACGGATGCATATGTGGCAGAATCTGTGTCACAGCCAAATAATGTCAGTGGTCTGTGTATATGAATTAATCCCTCTTCTCTAAACTGTTCGTCTCTGCCTTTTTGTGTCTCACATTTTCTCTCTTTTTTTCCCCCCACCCTGCCCACCTACCTCCTGCTGTGTCTCAACCCCTCCTCTCACGTCCTTTTCCTTTACCCTTCTCTCCACTCCACCCGCTCTCCATCTTTACCCCCTGGTCCTTGTTCTCTTCTCTCTTACCTTCCTGTCCTCCTTGCCTTCTAACTCTCTTTCTTCATATGTGACTGGGTATTGGACTATGAACAGTGGGCAGCAGGCAAACCACCGCTCCGGCCTCTGTCACTGCGGCCGCAGCAGCAGTGGCTGCAGCCGCCGGCACCACCGCAGGGCTGGTGGAACAAGGTATCACGGCGGCTCACTCAGGGCACGCCAACCCCCCTTCACCTTCTCTGTTCCTGTCTTTTATACTTAATTCTTTTTCTTCTATTTTCCCTCCTTACTCAGCATGGGCGCTCAGAGCATGCTGGCTGACCACACTAACTTTAACTATATCGCCCATGTACTCATCACCTGCAGCATTAGCTTTGTTTCCATCTATTTGGCAAGTGTTATGCAACATTTTGATACTTGCAAAAAAATGCAACCGTGTGTTTTTCCATCCACTGGGTTATGGCGAGTGTTAAAAACATCCGTAAGATAAGTGGAGAAAGTATTAACAGTCAATTGTTAGATATTGTTTTATCCAAGGAAGGCATTTGTTTGAAACAATACAATAGACGCAGTGAGAGTGATAGTAGTTATGGCTTTTCAAGGAAGCCGTGATAGAAAGATATTTTATCAACAAGTTAAAGCCATCATTTCAAACCTACTTCACAATTTATCTGCCTCTGTAGCTTTTTTTTAATACAAAATTTCTATATTGAGGAAAACATCTTCCACTAAAAGCAAATAAGAAATTCATTTTTGTTGGATGTTTTAGTCAGTTTCCATTTGCCCATTCTATGTTGATGCTTCATAATTCATAAAGGACTTGGATGGAAGCCCAGCTATTGCTGTCATTTTCCATCTGTCACTTCCTGTCTGAGATCTGATAGGGTGGCTGTGCTATCACCACTCACCCATATTATTCCTATTGTCTTCATCTCTAGACGCAGCAACAGAGCATGGCCTCGACCCAACCAAACTGCTGTCCTGTCTGTCTGTTTCTCTTTTTTTCTCCTCACCTTTTTTCTCCCAACTCACCTCTGTTACATCACCACTTCATTTTACCCCATTCCCTTTCCTATATTCTGTCTATTTCTACCTCTCCACCAGCATCACTTCCACTCTCCCCCATTCCATCATGATTTCATATTTCCCTTCACTCTCTCTTCTTTTCTTTGTCTGATGACATTGGAAAGTTTGCCCCTGTCACTTTAAGGATGGGACTGCCCATGAGCTCTTGGTGAATGCTGCATGGGGCAATGGACTGGTGCATGTGCTGCAACACAGGGCGATTTTGGTGCATGGTGAACACTGTGGAAGATGCAAGGCTGGGATGGTTCTCGTGAAGTCAAAAACCTTTCAGGCTGTTGCTTTTATATTTTTAAATTTCTTGCATTAAGGATATATCCCATTGTAGCCCACTGCTGGAGCAAAAATTCACACTTATCTTTGCTCTCCATGATTGTGTTTCATAAATGAGACAAGAGGAAAAAGGAGAGAGACTGGAAGAAAATAACGAAAGAACCAGACTGATGCACATTCCCACAAACACATTCGTTACATTGGCTGTGTTGGTCCAATGGTCCACATGGCGCAAGGCAAATATTCGCTTCACTTTCTGCCTGAACCAAGAGGCAACCTCCGGGCTGAAAAGTGAAGCCAACGCAGAAGTGGCAAACACTGAAGTTGGCTGCCTCCAAAAAGCGAGCAAGTTAGTCAAAGAGAAATGCCCAACGTTGCAACAGAAATAAACATGTTTACAGCCTGATCTCTAATAGCTAATTTCGCCATTCATTACAACTGTGCAGGGGTGAATTCTGTATATAACATACTCGTTTAAATTGTATTAAAGCTTAAAAATATGCATAATTAAGGGCGGGTTGAGCGACAGGTGGTTGCCTTCTCAGGTGGCTAGGCCTATTTGGCCCACCTCTTTGCCTTTTGTTTTTGGATTAGGTGTAGTCAAATAAAGCACGCTATGGCCGAATCAACTGGTTAACGCTAACCTTATTAGTAAACAATTGCCTATTTATGCAGCCGACACAGAGAAACATGGACATCCTCTAAAGCTGATGATACACGGGACAACTTTTTCAGCAATGTTGCTGGGCAATCTTGCTAGTGGCAAGTCTGACTATGACTATTTGAACGGATAGCGGCGGTGCGGGGCGGGTGGCGGAGTGGTGGGGGAAGGGGATTACGGTAGTAATCTTTATTCATTGCCATTGACAGCAACGTTGCCCTGCACGATTGCTCTAAAAGTTGCTCTGTGTATCATCAGCTTTAGAGTTTTATTTCTGTCCCCCTGTAAATCTAATACTTACTGTTTGGTCAGCCACCTCTTCAGAAATAATTCCAGCTTGCTACATCCTTGGCTGTCGTCACCAATGCACTTTTTACAGTATATGATGGCAGTTTTAAACAAAACATTCCTTCTGAGACCAGTGCGTGATGTCACATACATTTTTTGTGTGTTTTTTAGACAGATATTTAAACAATGAAGTGCAAGAGCAGTAGGTTCAGAGGATATTTTAATAAATGTGAACCCAACCTAATGTGTTTGTTCTGGGTATGCAGAAATGAACCGCAGGCATAAGCAACAAAAAAAACTTCACATGACAGTCTAGCATTGAGCTAAGGAGACCGTGACAGTGTCCTTGTTTCTGTGGACCGCTGGGACTCCACAGTCCTCTCTGTGTCCCTCAGCCTCCACTAGGCTCCAATCAAATATTTATAGTGGGCTGTCTCCCCCTATCAGCCTCACTCTGCCTCGCTGGCTTACTGGAGGCCTCACTTTTGCATATTCATACACACAAATGCAGTCGCCATCTACTACATCCACTAGTGTAGAGAAAATGTATCTTTTAATGTGTGCTGGCCTTTAACATGCTAAAGGTTTTGAGTCAGTCTGAGGCCTCTGAGTGGGTCTCTCCAGTAGCTTACTGCATTTCCACATGGCACTTTTGTGTGATCACAACTGAAACATGATGTGAATCCATGCCCATCCTTTCTTTGCTCTTGCAGTGGTGCATCTTGCGTGTTTTTAGTAGGAATTGATAGCGGTGCTTTTGTTTTAATCTCTTCCTCCTCTCTCTTCTTGCTTCATGTGTAATTTGTGGCAAGGTAAGGAGTGCCCCTTGCTTCTCCACCTTGAATTAAGCTTCCTTTTATTTTTCAGGTTTCTACAGAGATTTCCTCTTCATCAGTGGAATTTAAGCCATTTTTAGCAACCTTCAGTTCGGGTTTTTTTTAATAGAACATCCACTTTGCTGTTTTGGCAGAATAATGGTGTTTGTAAAGAGCACAGCAAAATACCCTTATCACTTTCATTACTCTTCTCCTTACTCTTCCTCTCTGCTCTCCTTTCATATCCTCTCCTCTTCTGCCAAGCCCTCAGAGAATTTGAGAGAATGAACTTGACACTATTCTGACCCCATTTCTTCTCCTCAGTAACAACCGGTCTTCGGACGGAGGAAGAACACACAGCACAACAATAAACCACACACATTCATGGCAGTCTCGCATATCTCCGGATTATGTAGTGCTTCTTTATCACTTCATAATGCTTCTTCATTGACTTCATTGAAAGCTAGGACAAAAGGTGGCAGTGATGTATTCTACACACCCTATCTTGCTGTCTCGCTTTTCAAGTGAGCTTGTATGGATGTGGTTTTTCACTTAAAAGAACTGGCTTCCTTGTGACTGGACATCTGTTCCCCCTAAATTCTCATGGAATTTAGGCTTCTGTTGAAAATTCAAAGTAGCTGGCTTGGAGCATGTTTGGAAACGAAAGTGAGAAAATCAGAGAGGAGCTATGTCTCATGTTCAGAGGAAAGAGGCAGAGAGAAAGAGAGGAAAAAATCCCAGACTGCCTGAAAATAGTGTTTTATGTAACGTGGCTGGCTGCTGATGTGATTGCATCTGATCAGACTTGAAATTGCACTCAGCCCCTAAAAAAGTCCCAGTAAGGATTATGTCTAGGGGAGTAAAAGAGAGACTCTGGGACTTCATTTGTTTTTGACAAGCTGTAGCTATTCCCCTTTACACCAATAAGAGAGAATGTGAAGCAGACAGACAGCGAGATTCCTTCCCATATGCATTTATTTTGCCTTGGTGACACATTTCACAAAGGTCGCATTTAAACCTTTATCAAAAAATGTCTTCCAATTCCAAAAATGCTTGAAAATCTAATCTGTCCCTAGTTAATCAGGATCTGTGGTCATTTTTAGCTTACATATTTCGATAAGGTGAGTTTCCTTCACTGGTAGAGTTACTATCTATTATTCTTCCACTGGTTCATTTACAGGCACAGAGAAATTAAAATTAAACAGTTCAACATATATAATAGCCAAACAGATCATTCAGTCATCCAATATGACATATCAAACTCATCAATTCATGTATGCTGGTGGTCGTTTCCTGTATGTGTGTGCATCCAGGGTTGGAGCTGTACAGTACCAACACGTCTGCTAGAGGATTTGTGAGCAGTGAAAATGCACACAATTGCTCGTCCAATCTCTGGTGTCTTGTTAGTGTTAATCCTCTGTCTACGTCCTCACAGGCACACCCGCAGCCCCCACCAACACCACATCACAGAGAGTCTGGCTCTTACTTTGGGGCCCCTCTGGGTGAATGTGTATCTATTTAATGCAATCGGACCACCTTGATAGCCGTGCTATAGCAGTGCAGCCATGGTGAATGGCCTTCAGACTGTCTACTGTTGTCTAAACGCAGTTTCCACAGGGATTATTATGGGTATTACGCTCATCAGAGGACTGTTTCTACAGTATCATTCTTCCTCTCCTACTGCCCCCCCATTATCCTTCATTACAGAGCAGGCTTTAGACTAATGCTCCTTAAGGCCCCCAAAGACTTCTTTAAGGCAGGACTTACTGCCTTACACAGCAGCCATCTTTGATTCGGCTTCCTCGCGGCCATGAGGGGACCATGGCACAAGAATTCATGTGAACCAATGAGTTTGAGAACATTATTTCACTGACAACAACATCTTTGGTTTTTAGAAAGACGAGTATGGTGTTCTGACTCCAGAAGAGGTGGACTATGTAGCAAGTGTGAAGACAAATTAATATGGTGAAGGGTTGAGAGGCATCTTGTTCACCTGACCAACTAGCTTTAGCCTTTAACATCGAACACTTTGGGACCTATGTTGAACCTCGCTATATCTATAAAAACTACTCTAATGCACCGAGTCGGTTCAATTACTTTATAGAACGTGTGATTGCACAATGAGCTTGATGCACACAAGCTTCTGTATTGATCGCTGTTCATTTTAGATGGTGTCTTGGCTGCTCAGTATCACTAAAAGGAAAAACGTATGTGTGGATAACAACACACACTGAGCCCATCAGTACCCAACTTTTCTATCATTCTTTCAGATGCAGCTTTACAACCATGTCTGTTCAAGCAAGTGGATATTAGTCGCACACATGCGGAAATAAATCCAATGTTGCACAAGTAATGAAAGTACACTTTCATTGGAAGTTACAGTGCTATAGTTATAAAACAGTTAAAGTTAAAGCGCTTTATCTGCAAGGTGCCTTTGCTCTTTCAGCCTAAGGCTATGTCAGCTGAGCCATTGCTTTGCAAAAAGGCAGTTTTACTACAGGGGTCAATAATAAATATTTTTTTCTCAAAGTCAACTGAATGTAATCTCTGAAGGCTTTAATGTGGGTTAAAGATATTGTAGCAGACATATCGCTGAAAACTTTGTTGTTGCACTTCTCTGTGTCAACTCATGTCCACCTTTGACTTGTTATTTTTCCCTGTGTTTGTCACTGCAGCAGCTAAGACCTTGCTCAACAAAAAAGCAGATGTCAAGGTAAGGGTCATCACATGTGTTCTTCCCACTTCTCTACTCTCTCAACTCAGCTTTATTTTCCAGAGGTAGAAACTCTGCCTCTTCTGCCTCTTTGCTGTTTTTCTCTGCTCTGCTATTTGCTTCTTTCCCAATCTGACTAATCTCACTTCTACCTACTGTAGCTCTCTTTCTTTTGTAATTGAATGTGTCTCATGTCTTGTGTGTCATAATCTCATTGGATGTGTTTTTTGATGATGTACTTCTGTATTAGGGCTGCTGGACTTTTCTGTGGATTTTGGCATACCATTTTGGGTGTGTAAAGTAAAGATATTTACAGATTTTTTTTTTGTAAAAAGCCACAGCCCTACTCTGGATACATATCTGTTGATATGTGTCTGTATACGTGCACGTGCATATGTGCTTATGTGTATATGTGCATGTATCAGCCTGTGTGTTGCCTGCCAGAGCACAAGCTTCAAGTAGCACATCTTTCTGAAAGCACCCTTTATTTTCATTTGGCATTATTCAGCTCATTGCCACCTCTCCATCTCCATTATTAAATGTAACCATCTGTCAGCCCTCCCCTTTCGTTTTTTCATCACTTCCTCTGCCTCTCATCCCTCCATTTCTGTCTCTTCCTTCCTTTTCCTGCTCACCCCATCTGGTTTTTAACCCCACATTCCTGTTCATCCTTTTAATGAAGATCTCTCACCATCCCACGCTCGCAAATACACACACTGCAGTAACACATCCCACACAAAAATGGATGTGTCTGTGTGCGCAGCGTGCATGCATGATAGTGTCCAGCAAAGCTTGGAACATTGTGTACATGCAAACAAATGTGTTTGCGACTCTTCTTTGCATTGTACATCATGTTGGGCATCTTTGTGCACATACACGTGGACTGAAAGGTGTGTATTTGAGAATATGTAAATGTGACCGTGTGTGAATACGTCACATTTCTTTGTAAGTTTCAAAAGAGAATGAAAGCGCAAATGGGTGTGTGAGCATGCCTGCACACCAAGTGTGCATAAGCGGGGGTGTCCGCATGTGTGGTTTGCTTATGTGCATGTGCAGCAGTGCGTGTGTGCATGTGTGTGTGTTTGTTCACGTGTGCACATGGCCCCCCTCCCCTGTCTCACTGCTCAGTTGGTTCAGCAGGGAATGTGACTCCAGTTCCAGGAATAGCTGCCAGTCTGGACCCTGGAAACATAGACGACAGAAATAGACGCTTACTTCCACTGCGATGCACTCGTTGCCTAGCAACAGGCTCCCCACACTCGCCCCAAACCATTTCTAAAGGCGTCTTCTTCGTTTGCTGCCGTCCCTGCTTTCCTCCCCTGTTTCTTCCCTCCACGTGTCCTTTTTGTACTCTTGGCAACTCTGACCTCCTCTCCTCGGCCACTCCTCCTTCTTCCTCTCCGCTGGTTCATTAATGCATTATGGCACCTGACGTTTTTCAGCTGTAGCACCTGCTCAGAGCAAGCAGGCGGCCTCTCTCTGCCACTAACTACACACCACCATCGGCCTCCCGTGCTGCTAGCTACTTCCTATAAAAGTCGCTTCATCCAGCATCTCATGCAGTGTTGTTATATTGATAACACACACTGTGTCTATTCTTCCTGTTTCTAAAAGTTATGACATGTGGCATTCTTATACGTCGCTGTGATGGATAGATAAACTGATAAGCTGCTTCAAAACAAATTTGGCCTGAATTCACAATAATGTAATATACAACATAGAGGACCTTTTAGGTTCCAATGGGTTTTTTTTTGGTCTTGTTCATTTGAGGTGATTGCACCTCTGTCCCCAAATTATCATGCTAACAATTTATGGATGTATAAATGCTACATGTAACAGTATTGAGCCAGTGGTGATTTTAGATTTAAAATGAGTTCTGGGAGAATGCTTTTGTATGCTGACAGAATAAATTTTGTATTTCCTTCTCTTTCCATTCTGTTATGCCCCCATCTTGCTCCTTGTTGCCACAGACAGGCTTATTCTGTTGAAGAAGCACAGTGGGTCACCGCTTTTCCATCCGCACGACTCCTCTGTGATCTGCTTCCCACTCTTGTTTCCTTTTCCTGATGACTTCCACCGCTCCTTTGTGTGTGCTTGCCCCTCCCTACTTTCGCAATAACACTTCAAAATCTCATTTTCAAGAGGGGAAACACTACTTCTACTTTCTCCAAGCTTTCTGGAAAAGTCTGATCCTGTTCTTTTACAGGAGTAAACGCTGCATTGCCATCTAATTGTGGAAGTTTTGGCTTACACTGACCAGTTCTATGTTGTACTTTGTACCAGTACATTCACATTTTGTCATCCGTTACTTTATCTTCTTTCCCCCCTTCTTCTACCATCCATCCATCCATCCATCAATAAACCAATCCATCCATCAATCGCCTGAGGACAGAAACGCAAGTCCAGCTCTACTGTCCAGTACATGGTGAGCATGCTATTTATGCATTTGCCCAGTCACTCCTTTTTCTTTTGCTCCTTCTCTCCACCTGTTAAATCCTGTATTTGTTTTAGCCACCTTTTCCCTGCCTTTACTCTATTTCATCAGTGGAGTCAAGTCTCCCTCACTTCACTGAAGTATTAACTGCAGCATCATGAAGCATTTTTAATTCAAACAGCAGTCAGGTGTAATTTAAGCATTTCCTGGAGATAATGCTCCCGTGCATGAGAAGTGATCCATTTTAGGAATTGTTAGGAATTACAGAAACAGAACTGAGTAGTTAACATGATAAGTGATGGCTATGGAAAATAACAATACAGAAAGTCAAACTTAATTGACAAATGCCAGGCAGACGTCACATCTTTGGCTCTTACAAAGTGCACTGCCATTACGCTAACCCTGACATTACTCTGAAAAACGTGTGGAAGCAGGATGTTTTAGTTCCATCAGAGTTACTCCAGGGATACTGCTCCAGATCTGTCAGGGGCACACTTTTAGAATAGAGGCAGCGCTTGTGCTTGTAGTTTTAATACAGAGCTCTTCAGACAAGACATTGCACATACTCCAAACAAAAAGTGGGAACAAACATATGGGTAGGTGGGGGACATACATGCTCCTGGGACTACCTCTAAGCACTGAACAGCAACTGACATTTTAAATTTGCATAGGGATAATGAGCAAAACAGCAGTACATTTTTAATTCAGGTAAGTGATTTGGAAAGGAATTTTACCCCCCAACTTGTTTCCCTCTTTTCTGCCGCAAGGCACCTTCTTTACCCCGGCATGTCACTTTTTTCTACACACCCATCATCTCTTCTGCACCGCATCCTCCTTTGTTCTCCCTGTGCACTGCTTTCTGTGCCCATCTGGGGAACCACCTGTGAATACTTTTTACCTACCTTCTCCTTCTTTGCTCTCTGTAACATCATTGTATTAATTGCGAAGATGTGTGATCTCTTCTCGACTTGCATCCTCTGATGCCTAATACTATGGTTTTGCTTTCAGTATAGTAAATGGTTTAGATGTTTGGCTTTGGACGTCAACAGCTGTTTTTCACCACTGGAGAAGCTTTGTTCAGGACCATCTGTCTTCATGCCAGTTTTTGAAATGCCATTCAGGAACATAGGGGGCTTTTTCCCCCAAAGACACACATGATGCGAATGCCTAAGACCTTGAGTTGATACTGCAAACAAGCTCTGTCTCACCTGCTAACTGTTACTTTGATGAGGAATACATTTCCTGTTGCTCCACGGAGGCAGTGGGGTGATGGCAGATGACGGCTTTGGTTTGTTTAATGTGTGCTTGAGTGTGGGTGTTTGTTTGTGCACTGGTGTGTGTGTGTGAGAAATGTCTATATGTCAGCTTATTGTTGGCTTACACCAGCTTGTATTTTCATGGTTGTTCTGTGTGCATTTGCATTGTGTTGTGTTTTTGCACTAGGTGTGCAAAAACACAACACTCTCTTCTTGTCTCCTTCTCCTTCTTCTCTCCTGAGTAAGCCCTGTGGCTTACAGAATTCATATTTTGGTAAACATATACACCTATACACACGCACACGCGCACACACACACACAGACACACACCATTCTTGACTTTCTTTCTATCCTGTAAATCCATGTGTCAAACTATTACCAATTCTGTGACTCAGCATCACTGCACAATATCAACACCTGCTTTAATAAAAATACTTTCTTTAACTCTTCCTTTTTAAATTTGATGTAGAAATGTGTGTGATATGAAACGGTTTCGCTATCTTGATTAGCATTGGGGCTTTTAACATTCACACCTTATAAAGGCTTAATGACCCATTAAGTAATCCATGACTCCTTTTGACCTCTTTCACTGACTAGCAGGATACGCTGCTTAGATAAAATAGTGTTTAAGAGTGATTAAGATTTATGTAACGGTAACTGACTTCTTAGAGTGACTCACTTTGGTGATTCACTTCCACACCCAGCACTCAGCTCCAATTAGCAATTTCAAGTTAATATTTTGCAACAGGATGAGAAAAAATGTTATGTAGATTCAATGCAAATATCGTTGTCATTGAACTAAGACATAAAGGACCGGCCGCACTTTGATGTGTGGCCTTCAAAGAAGCATTTGATCGTGGCTTATGAAGGTGATTCATTACGGCCAAATGGCACAGTTGAATCGTTGCGATGTGGCATCCTAAGCAGCGGTAGTCATTACCAAGTCACAATATGATGATGTCACCCGCCCCCTCATTGCACCTCTCAGTCTTGTGAATGAATGTCTTAGGTAAAGCTTTCGTCACTGCTGCTGCTTCCTGATATCTACTGGGATCCACACTCAGACATGAACCTGTGTTTATCTAACTGTGCTTGTGGGGATCTTCATTTACGGCCTAACCACTATTTTCTGTCTCTTAATTTGACAGAATTTTAGTCTAAAGATAAAAATAATGGAAAACTGTAATCTTGACAGCTATGAAAAGACAAGGAAGTTTTTTTTAAATGTCGTTTTTTTTTAAGAGCAACACAAACAAAACTCCGTTAACCTCTATTGTATTGGGGTGGAGGAAGAATTTTCTGAGACGGATTTGTCAAAATATCTGCATCATAAACTTGAAATGAATGAAATTAAATTATAATTAAACCAACAGGATGTCAGAAACACTGTGGTGAGAAGCTCAAAATGTGTTCTCACAGGACATAAACTTACATACAAGCGTGGACATACACACAAACCCACCTCTTGCTGTTGTTAACACTCTTGTTGTGTCTCCTCCCTTTCCTCTCCTTTCCTGCACAGCCCCAGACAAACAGCACCAAAAACAGCATAGTCACCAGCCCCAAAGGAAACATCCCGTCACCTGCTCTGGTATTTACTTCCTAAGCCCCCCTTCACCTGTGTGTGTGTGTGTGTGTGTGTGTGTGTGTGTGTGTGTCTTTCTGTCTGTCTATTCCACCAACCGTCTATCCTTCAAAACCCCTATACCTTCACCCTAACCTACTTCCTTACTCCTTCACCTTTTGTCTGTTTTTCCTCTCTGTCTTGTTGATTGTGGTTGATCTTTGTGTAGCCGCTGCGATGGCCACAGCGGTCGGAAAGGTCTTTAACCAGCAGGTGGTGTCTGGAAACATTTCCCCATGGCAGGTGGGGGTGACTTCCACTAGAGCTGATATTGTGCTGCCATGTCATTTTCTCTGTCAGTGAAAGTTTGCCAAAGAGGAACAGACAACCAGTGCCTGCCGAGGCTGTCAGAGCAATTTACCCCCTACTTCCAATTTATGCATCTGTAGAGAAGCAGTTCCCCACAGTGTGAGCATCAAAGTCTAACGGTCTGCAGATTGTCCTTCCAGCCAAATAGCACACCAGCTGATTTCGAGGATTAATGCCTCCCCTTCTGTTGATGGTGTGAAAATCAGTGAGATTATCTAGAATGAAAACCTGCGTGCTCTTGGGCTTCCAGCACATGCTTGCAAACCAATTTTATACTTTTACTTGGCATCAGGCCTCCAGGGGAGATTTTACTGCATGTTCATTGAGGAAAAATTAAGGTCAACCAAGAAAACAACTGTTGGATAAAAAAGCCAAAAAAAAATTGTATTAAGAACAAAAGTTTGGATTTACATTAATGCTGACAATGTTACAAAGCATATCATAGCTTTGAATTGTTGTACTTACCAGAGAGCTATGGTTTCAGTCCATGCCAGTACTGTCTAAAAACCTTAACAGTCCCTGTTCACCACTGCGTTACCAGGTATGGGTAGGATCAACCTGTAAAAGCACTTGTGTGGTCTGTGAAGACAGCATGTAAGTTTAAACTGCAAACATCTAAATCATGTACATTAGTCTACAGACATCATGGGATAACTGTAACAGCGACATTTAGTTAACATCACAATTTATTTCTGCTTGTGCTAGGGTTGGACGATATGGCCAAAATCGATAATTATCACGATAAGTATCAAATCGTTATTTCTTTCAAGTTTAAAGGCTGAGTTTTGCCATACAAAGCTGATATTACAGACTTACAAAGGTCAAAATTCATCATTCTCACATGCCCAGATGGATCCAACAAAACCAGCAACTGTTCTAGCCGTCGGTAAGCTGCTTTAAACCAGCCTAGTGTAAAAACTAAAACTGCAATGAAACAGTATTCTTGCCATAAACTGTCAGTCCTGTGTACCCTCTCAGACACCCGCCATTGTACACATTGTCTGACGTCTGACCCAAAATCTAATATCTAATCAAAGGTCACACTGGTGTGACGTGGTTATAGAACAGAGCAAACACAGTTGAAGAAATAGTGATAGTTAATTGTGGTTAAACTCTTGAGGCCAAACAGTGGCTCACTTTGCAAATCTGAGGTAGGACATTCAAAACAATTATGATAAAATCTTTGTCAACAAATATGCATGAGTAAAATTAAGGAAAAGCTTTTTTTTTCAGTCCTTTTTCCTCAACAAAATAAACATCTTAATAAAAAAATTAAGTCCTAATTTGTATATGATTCAAGTGAATAAAATCAAACATTTATTGAATCTTTATTGAACATTTGTTATATTGTTGTTGAAAAAAATTATATTGTGCTAATTAATGTTATTGTTTTATCGTCCAGCCCTAACTTTTGCTACACACTACGCCTCATGTTATCGTAATGACCCAATTTCCTGTCAGGAATTTCTTTCCTGTCAACACTGCTGGTGAAATCCCGCTGCTTATGAGACAGTTTAGATTATCTTCGTCTTTTGATAAAAAACGCAGAAACCTCCATCCTCGCTCTGTTCTTAATGGCTAAAGCTGCGTAGCTACAGTGTTGTGTTAATGCTCTGCTGATCATTCCAGGTGAAGCGCTACAGGAGGTTTTAATGGCATGTGCTTTTTTTCTTTTTGCTCAGTTGCCTTTCACAGCTACTGCAGGCTGCTTTGTTGTCATTTGAATACTAATTTAGATGAACATTTTAATGGCGTCAGTTTGTTTGTCATTAGTTTTCTGAAACCATCATGGTTCGTTTTAAAAAGTAAAAACTCTGTATGAGAATGCAGAAATTTAATTAAAGGTTTTATTTTTAACTTTTTTAACAGTGTAGACATTTTAACATTGTCACATTGTAAAAACTAGAGGACAGGTGTGGAGGAAAAGATTTTAAAAAGCTTGTGAACATATTGTGCTTTATAGGCTACGGTGTTTTAACGGGAACATCTACAACAACCCAAACCTGTGGCTACTGTGCTGAAACAGAACTTTTAAAACATGTGGACATTAATCTTTAATCTGCATTTTAGTTGTTTTCCAACAGTGAGGTACATTTGCAAGTATGTGTGAGTATAAGGTTTCTGACACTATTTTCTACATATTATGTTTTTATATTTAGACAGAAGTGTTATATCATGCCATTTATATACCAAGGCCAGTAGCCATGCTTAATCATAAATCACTGGCAACCAAGTCCTAGATGCCGCACTAATGATCTCACCAGCTTAGACATTTAACACAGCTGATGTCTTGGGCAAGTTTGGGTTTGCTCCTTGGAACTCCTGCACACTAAATATAGCTCTGGCTATACAAAGCTCCATCTAAGCATGTAATTGTAATACATAATCTGTTGCTCAGTTATATTATATTATTATAGAAACCTAGTGGTTCACCTGGTATGTTGGGAATTACCTGTTCATGGTGTGTGTGTGTGTGCGTGTGTGTGTGTGTGTGTGTGAGATCACCAGCACTAGACTAGCTTGATACAGTGATTAAAAGTAGCCACCTGCTTTCAGTCCTTTCGTCAGAGAGGGCAAAGCGAGAAGCACACAGCCAAACACACTGATGGAGCAACAGGTGTGAGCATATTTTTGTGATGGACATGCTCGCAGTTGTCCTTTTGTGAGTGTGTCTCTGTTTTTTGTGTGTGCATGCATGTGATGTTGGCTTAAGTCTCAGTCCAGTCTGCACATGTGCAGACTTACTATCAGAATCGCTTGATGGGAAGTTTACGTTTATGTGCTTAAGAATGGGCATGGTAGTGTGGGCACAGTCATAGATCAGAAGAGCCTTTTTTTTTTCTCTGATGCTTGAAGGGAAGAGGGAGTGGGCGGGCGGCTGTGATCTCCATGCTGTTGCTAAGGTCTTGAGCAAGTTACTGTTTAACCATTTAGTACATTTAACTCCTGTATTACAGAGCTGCCAGGCCATGGAAAGACAGACCGCCTTCACTTACATGACCTTAATTGTCTGACTCGGAAGCCGTTTGGTGGGGTGATGGGAATCTGAAATGTGTACATGTACTTTAATCTATAGTATATGTGGCATGGCTCTATTTCCATAACACAAAAGAACATATATTGAACTAATTTAACTTAGCTGTGCTACTAGAACATCCCTGGAAGAGCAGCAGTTTCAGTATGTGTAATGGTCAAACCCTTCCCCATTTGATGATGTGATGCCATCAGGACCCACCGCCTCCTCCTAATCTGCAAAAAAAAAAAAAGGTTGCCCAAGTTGCCGCTGGTGCTTGTTGCCCTGGGCGACGGTTGCCCTGACAACATCATCTTCAATGAGAAAGCTGATGATTGGTCATCCCAGAGGTGTCACGTCCTGGGGGACGAAGAGAGCTGCAACAAATATGGGGGGTGCTGATGGGTTCTGTTCTACTGTAGATCAAATGACTTGAGAGCTCCAGAAAGGGAAGAAAATATATCTGTCTCCATTCTGAATCATCAGCAATCAGTGCCTGCCCTATAGGGTGGCAAGAAGCCAGCGCTGTGGGGGTTGTCAGCCATAAAGGCCAAGTGACAGTGTTGGAAAAGAGCCACTATTTTGCTAAAAAAGTAGCATAGTCATAGCTTAGAGGTGATAGCTTATTTTTAGCAGCAAGAAGATTTAGATGGGGTTGATAGCAGAAAAATAACAAAGAGAAAAGTTCTACTGTTTGGCTAATCTTGTGGAGTGAGTGATTTCAGACTGAATTTCTTTTAGAAAGGGATCCTGAGATGATGACAGTATCTTCCCGGCAGCGCTTGCCTTTTCTGTTGAGACGAGTGTGAAGGAACAAAATTACCTGTTTTCATATTATGAGGCATCTCTGTGTTTTTGCTGGGCGTCTCAGTGCCTTGCAAGATGTTGAGGCAAGTGTTAATCTATGTCATCCCCCATTTCATTTATATTGTCTGCCCTGGTTGATATTCTCTTAATTGTAATCTAGATTATTTCTTGATTCTGTACATGTGAAGGGCATTGAAGGCACTGTACGCATGCACAGCAAAGTAGTGTAGAATAAAGTGCCTATGTTCAGCAAACCCTGGATAAGTTAAGGCTGAATAAAGGTCACAGTTTTTGAGTGCAGCTTTATGCTGTGCCTTTCCTTAGGCTGTGGATATGTACTGTATGTGTGTGAGAGAGATATATATGGCAAGCACTTCACCCTGAGTTTCTGTGCTGTATCTGTTCTGTGTGTGTGTGTGTGTGTGTGTGTGTGTGTGTTGAATTTGCACAGAACTGACTCCAAATTAGCTCATCCACCCACTCACTTCGCTTTGGAGGACTCCCCTCTCTCTCTCCTTTGTCAGCCTTAACAAACACTTTCTCTTTATCCAACATTCATATCACCCTCTTTGTTTCCTTTGTACATTTTCACACTCTTTTATCTTTCTTTCCCTCCCTCTTTCTCCCCCTTTCTCTCGTTTATTCCATCCACATCCCCTCCTCCTCTTCCTCCTTCTCCAGGAACCTCAGACAACCGTCATCCATAATCCAGTGGACGGGACAAAGGTAGACATCATTCCCAAGTCCTGACCTATTCTTTGTCATTCTCCTCCTTTTCCTCATCTTCTCCTGACCTTTGATCCTTCTTCTCATTATGCATCGGTGTGAGCACACCATTGGCATTGGTTTATTAATGCGTATGTGCATATGTCTGTCTGTGTATGTGTGTTGCTTGAGAGTAAACCCCTCAGATAAATTCGCTTTATATTTTTATGGAAAACATGCAATTGTTGTTTACCTTGTTAACCAGATGCCCCATTGAGTAAGCTTGTGTGTTCTTGTGACTCATTATTCCACCTAGGGGACCTCGACACACGCACACACACACACATTACACTCCAATACTACAAATGAACAGTATACTAATGAGGGCAACAACTGCAACAGTATGTATGTTATAAGTGGGACCAGTGGGGAGCTCACCAGAAAATAATTTAAATATTCAGTAGCTTATATCAGAGCTCAGCATATAAAACAAACATTTACCATAATTGACATTTGGCTCATGTAAGTGTTCAGTAAAAGTACTTTTGAGAACTTCCCTGTAAAAAATATTACAACACCCAGGATCATCCCAGTCACAGGCTTCTTGCATGTCTTTCTTGTCATCGGCATAATGATCACTATTTCTAATGATTTTATGTTCATATTCAAAAGGATCATATAATTTATTGACTAGATTGTGGTTCACACATAGCTCTAATATAGCTGAAAGAGATGTATAATTATAGTGTATTTGTTGTGTATAGCATATAGCTCCTAAATGTAGCTGCTACAGTTGAATGTTGTGTGAATGTTTAGAAGTTGTGCATGAACCTGCATGTTGCAGTAACATCCCTTCCTCATAGGTATGATGAAGTATTTAGTGTGTGTGTGTGTGTGTGTGTGTGTGTTTGCGCGTATGCGCGCCACTGTGTTTGCTCTGTTCTATAACAACGTCACACCAGTGTGACCTTTGATTAGATATTAGATTTTGGGTCAGACGTCAGACAATGTGTACAATGGCGGGTGTCTGAGAGGGTACACAGGACTGACAGTTTATGGCAAGAATACTGTTTCATTGCAGTTTTAGTTTTTACACTAGGCTGGTTTAAAGCAGCTTACCGACGGCTAGAACAGTTGCTGGTTTTGTTGGATCCATCTGGGCATGTGAGAATGATAAATTTTGACCTTTGTAAGTCTGTAATATCAGCTTTGTATGGGAAATGGCCCAAAACAGGAGGTTTTATTATGAAAGTGAATGTAGTATAAACACCAGTGAGGGAAACTATAGCGAAGTGCACAAAGTATACTAGCATGAAACTAAATGAATAAGATGCAAACTGTAGGTGTGATCACACTTTTAATATTTCTAATATTTGAGGATGCTTGCCACAGTTCTCTCCCTCACACACACACATACACACTTTTTGTCTATACTTGTTCTTCCTCTGCTCAGGTCACCAGCTGCTCTTTACAAAGCACAAAAGTTGCTATGAAACCACTTTTGTGCTTTGTGCTTGTGTTGCTGTTCGTGCACGAGTACACTTCTAATGAGGTCACCGAGTCTCTCAGCTCTCCTGTACATGCAGGGGAATTTAGGCCCATTTAATCTGCTAATTGGAAATCAGAAGCTAACTTCTCCTCTGGCAAAAGCCTGACAAAAAAAAGACAGCCTGGAAGACTGAAAGGTAGATGAATAGAGCGATCTGACGCCCTGCTTAAGATGACATCGACTTGCCACTTGAGAATCCATTCTGCCTGCATTGTGGAAATAAATGGATGGAGCACATCCCATTGAGTTTCTGTCAGTTTCAGCAAGAGACAAAAACACCCTATGGAGGAAAGACGTCACTTGTCCATGTGGTGTGATGCGCACACACACATACACACACTGAGAATGAAGCAGAGGGAGCTTTGCCCGGGGTAGAAGAAGAGAAAAGAAGTTTAGGCCATGGGTAAAAAAAGTCAAATATAAAATGACACAGTGGCAGATTGAACTATGAGGCTGATGGGTTTGCTGGAATGGTTTGACTTTCTAGTTGCAACTATTGGATGGTTGTGACACATTAACACACTGAACAATATTGGAATTTTGTCCTGGCATCTGTTTATGGATTTAATCCACATTCATTGGCCTCCATATACAACATGTAGTGCTCTGTTGTTTCTGTATTGTGAAGATGGTAACATAAGAATATGCCCCCTGCTGGCCTGTGTTTTGAGTTTGTAAAACAAGTATGTGTGTCTTCTATGTGTCTTCAGCACAAATGTGAGTGCTACTGTGTTTGAACCCAGACCTGTCTGTCTCTGGTCTCCAGGAATCATCAGATAGCAGCAACACCACTGTGGAGGATGAAGATGTGAAAGGTAAGACTGCACAGATACAAATCATGTCGTGCCGAAGTGTTTGCTTCAAATGAAAGGCTGAAGTACTTCTGGGAACTTGACAAATTTTGGATCATCACTTCACATTTTTAATGTATTGAGGTAGGTAGGCAGGCAGTCAGTGAACAACCTGTGTAACTGCAGAACCTCTCATGATCAAAATTATCACACGAGACAGACATGTTTTGAAACAACGGAAGCATTAAAAACAACTGTGTGACAGCAGATAGCACTCTCAGCCAGAAAGTAGAGGACATTTGGTCAGTTGCCGTTCAGTTGGCCATGTTAAGTTTTTTTCCATTTTGTAATGGTGGATTGTGACTGCTATGACAGTCAGTTACACATGGCGAAATGGGTTATTTAATTCTCCTTGCAGTAAAAGGTGTTCATCATTATTTGCTGACATAATTGTTGGATCTGAGTCTGTCTTTATGAAATTGGGCACAGTTGCTATCATTTTTAAAAGCTTAGAAATTACAATTAAGCATTACGATAATCCAGAGAGCCTACAAATGTCCTCTGGCAACAGGCGCTCTGCTTTGCATTAGCTTCTTGTTTATTAGACGGCAATATCGCGAGCCTCAGGGTGGTAATGCATTATGATGCCAGCTGTTGAAAAGATGTGTTTTGTATTCTGACAGAGTAAACGTGTGAAGTCGTGAATCTTGACCATTTTTAAAAGCTTACAGACACAATGTGGAACAGAAAATTGCTTAATGACTTATTATTTTCTATTTTAATATATAATCACCGAAAAAGAGATTTTTTTTTTTTTATCACAGTAGCACACTCTAGATAGCTGGCTGATAGCTGACCTCTTACTGACCCCTTATGGAGTCTGGTTGTATTGCTTCTGCTGGTTTTTCAGAAAGACTGAAGCGAAGTTTTGTGTGTGGCTCAGAGGTGGGGGGGGGGCTGTGAAATGTAAGAGGCCTTGTACTGCGTGTTATGCTGTTGTGGTTTGGCTTTCTTTCAAGCGATGGCGTTTGGCAGAAATCTTAATACTAAGAAACACACACCTCTAAAATACCAACATGTCCGGGTGGTGTGTCAGCTTGCGGAGTTGTGTACTTGTGTTGTGAGCATGTGTTTATGTTGCTTGTGGCTGAAATTGTGAAATGACCATCTTAGTTGCACATATCACACATATCGGCAAATAACCTTTTTTGTCCGCTGTGTGTGCGACTGAAACAATGTCTGTGTGGTGAATGTATGGATTCTGCCTCTGCTTATCTATGCCAACACACTCAAACACCCCTGTTCTCCACATCCAAGCTGAATACAATGCATCTGTATCAGGTCATGAATGTTTCATTTCGGTGTCGGGCATACAGAACAAAATGTGCGCTTCCTCCTCCTCCTCCATACAGAGGCTTCGCTGACACAAATTCCCTAGCAACCATGGCAGTCATGTAGTCATGTAGGTCTGTAAAAAAAATAATAATAATAAAAATATAAAAGAGGCAACAATTATGAAGTAGTTCTCAAGTAGAAGTGGCCTGCCCCAATTTTACTGGTGTCATCATGCTTATTGTAAAAGCAGAGGTTTGGGCAAGTCCTTTAAAATGTACTCAAAGTAAAAGTAACTGAGGCACTTTTCTGAAAGGAGAACACAATCTGAAATGTCACATAAAGCCCTGAGAGGATGGAGTTCAAACTCTATATTTTATTTAGTTGAAACATTTAAAATTACCAAGTAAAGTGCACCAGCTGCATTAGTGTGCGTTAGCTAGATTTGGTTAAACATTTTGATCTGTACCATGCTGTTAACTGTCGTTAGCACCAGTCTCTTGGGATCGAACTATCTATATTCCAGAGCACATAAGAAACATTCAGTGTTTGTCGTCATTATTTATCTTACTTGCAAGCTAATAAAGCAAAGTGATTGCATCTATAACTCTTTGTCAAAATGTTATTTATGTTATTTGAAAGTTGTGGACAGCCAGTAGGTGAGATTCCAGTAATAGAGGTTTTTTTTGTTGAAAATATATGTCTGTCTGAAAAGTTCACCCTGTTGCTAATTTACAGTAAATTATTAAAATGACCCTTGGTAGAAGTAGGATACCCAGAAGGAGCATTGCATCACCTGAAAATCCTTTATACCCTCCAGGCTCTACTGTACCACACTGGACTTTCCCTGTACACACAGTGAAAGGTATCCTCCCCCTACCCATTTTCTTCCCTTCCAAGGTCCCAAATTGGAGCCCTAACACCCCACCCCTCTGGCAGGAGTGTAGAGGGCAAGGGCACCTTTAGAGGGGGGTCAGGGTCTAAATTTAGCCAACGGGGACAGGAAATAGCGACAGAATGCCCAGAGAGGCGTTAAAAACACATCGCTCTGCTAGCGCCACCCTTAGATAGCATTGGTCTCACACAGCAGCTTTAAGACTCCTAAGATATGAACCGGCAGAGCACGGTTAGTGCCAGAGAAAACTACAAGAGCTAGGTGAGTGCGGGAGGAAGGTTAGTTGTGTTAGGTTGGAAAAGTCTGTCATGTTGGCCTTTGTAGGATCATGTCAGGTCAGCGACAGCTCGACAGCTGCTTTGTAACCCAACAACTGTGCTGGCTTTTGGAGCATCTTAACACATATCTGTTCTGTTACTCTCAGCGCGTTTATAGTAGAGAATATGTTACAGACGCTCTTTTCTGAGGGAGTTGTTGTGAGTCATTAATTTGTTGCATAGGCGATCATTTTTTACGTCATTGTTGTGACATCTGTGGAATTAAGTGCTAATTGCTGGGAAGTTCCTGCACTGCGCGTCCAAGGAATCAGTCAAACAGTGTGGGCTGTACTGTTACGTCTTTTTCTGGTTGTGTTTGGTTTCTGTAGTTACCTCAGAAATTGCAGAAATTATTTTTTTGCATTTTTTATGCAAATGTTGTGGTTTGTTGCGTTGGTCTATGAATTTCATTTGCTCACATTGGAGAGGGTGCGGTCATACCTCTAGTACTATAGTTTTGTGGCAGGAATCTCCTTTTCCTGTCTCTCTTAGCTGTCCTGCCAGTCTTGTGCCATCTATTTTTTTCCTCTGCAGGCATGCTTTCTTTCCCTCTGTTCAGCAACGAGTGTTCATATGTTGCGTTTTCCTCTGTGCCTGCTGATTAAACAGACGAGTGTTGATGAGTAACATCAAACATCCACATCCTCTCTCTCATTATCATGGCCAACACCAAGTTGTCATCATCCGTCCTCTGCTCACTGGCAAGACTTCCATTAAAGTCTCAGTAAAAGCAGCTACACTTGGAAATCCTGCTAAAACAGACTTATTAACTTGAATAACAATGAAAATGCTTTTGAAATTGCGTGATGGACGACGCGTCAATTAAAAGTAGCTGTAACTTGTCCCTGCGAGATAATTTATCTCACTGGGTTTATCATCTTGTATTATCTGCCCCCGCTGTGTCATCTCACACTCGCTTTCGCCCTTCCCATCATTTCTCAATGTGACATTTCTGTTGTGTTTTCATGTGCAATATGTTTGGCCATCTCTCTTTGCATTCATGTGTGTGTTTGGTCTCCTTCTGTGTGTGTGCATGTCATCAGGGAAGAGCTTAGACAACAGCTCGCTTAAGGCGCAGTCCAGCACAAGCTCCCAGCCTGATAGCTCTCAGGGCTCCTCAGCTGCTGTGTACTGTAAGTCAGCATGGCCCGCCAAATGCAGCCTGTAACACACGCACATTTATATCCTGTACTAGCAATATACCCTGACAAAATCCTTCCTTGTGTGTATTCGTTTCAGCGGTCCTGCATCTATTAAAAGGATACAAACACTGTCATTTAGCACTACTAAATCCCTAAAGTACCCTGACTAACTTATACTGCGCTTCATTCCTCCATTAGAGCCTTCTTAGTCAGAACCATTCTTGCATCTTACTATCAGACTGTCTAAAACATTTAATACCAACATAACCAGTCGTTTTGAAAAACAGTGAGATGCCTCATAGTACTTCTGCTCCTCTACAATCCTATCCTCCCCCCTGTTCTGCCCACGCCACGTGTGTTCAGAGTAACTCGTTGTCTCCTTCTCATGGATTTACGTGGAATTGCAACAGAATACTGCTCCATGACAATCTTTGTCTTAACATTGTTTTTCAGACATTTCTAGGAATAAATGTTGCTCTGTGTCTTTTTTTATTTATTTTTCCCTTCACTGTCTGTGAGTCAGACTTCATCGTGGAGAGCTCTAATGACACACCAAGTACCACGATTTCACAGTAAATTAGACTTAAATCTCACCTTTTTTTCACATTTGGCTTGTGGCTTGCTTGTCTTAGTGCTCCCCGAGACGAAGTTTGTTCATCTGAACGCCCAAAATGCTTTGATCAACCTTCCATTTAAGTTCCTCCCTTCCTCCCTCCTAAACTTAGCTGCCACAAAGTTTGCTGACCTGCTGGGCTCAGTGCGTAGGGGCTCAGGGCCCACTTCTGACGGGGAAGGGAGATCCAGCACTCCACCTCCTGCTGTCCTCTCTGCCCCCTCCCCTCCACACACCCCTGTTGTCCCAATGCAGAGTAAGTAGAAAAGAGCCAGACCAACAGGGAGTGTACAGTAGACAACGACTGGAAGATAAAGTGATGATGAGACTTAAAAACATAAATTGGCATCTCCTGTTCTTCTGTTCCCATACCAGGATGATGCATGAAAAGGGGGCCCTTTCATTTGTCATTTTGGGACAGGAAGTAAAACAGCTTATATCTTAAATCTGCATAGCTCACCCTTGGTGCACCTTTGTCATTTCTGCATCTTTAGAAATCCCTTCAGTTTTCTTGTTGACCAAACTTCCGAAGTCAAGAAAGCAATGGTACTAAAGTGGCACTAAAGAGATATGAAAATGTTAAAATGACCTCCAGCTGCAGAATCAAAATACATTTTTAAACCTGCAGTGTGGAACATTTGTGTCTCCCTGTGACAGTGAGAGTAATTACTCATCACTGTGCTTTTGACGTATTGGCTCTGCCATGCTCCATGTTGCTGTAGCCTAATATGTTGCTGCGTATGCTACACTATAGGCAAACCAATCATTAAAACACATCACTACCGGTTTGCCGGTGTGGGAATGTCACCACAGACACCAGATTTAAAAACTATAGTATAATGTGAATACACAGAGATTAACATGGCAGTGACAGGATTTATCAGGCTTGTGTGAACTCATTTGGCGAGGGCTTGAAGGTAACTGATGTTCATTCACACATAAAAGTCCCGCACTCGTCCTTATTAAAAAATAAAGCTGATAATGTATATTTTTGTTATTGTCAAGTAAATCCTGTGACAAGAGCAAAACAATGAATTGATTCTAAGTAGTCTGTGGAGCCATACGCTGAAGAAGTTTATTTTTCTGTTTCCTGGAGCTCCATTGTTGTCCAAAAGGTATTAAAAACAAAACAGTGAGCCACATTGTTGCACTGAGTGACATGTTCATTGCAACGAACACGGGTACTCAAGTTTATTTTGAGTCAGTGCCACACAGCTGCCGTAAATATTCAATGGTGAACCACATGTCTATTATTCCCCTGATGAAAATAGTCCCAAACAGATGCACTACTTTACTACTGTTTGAGTAACATTTGTGAAAAAATGCACATTGCCAAACTGAAATATATATACTTCATTATTTTTGGTGAAATTATATATTTATTCCTCCATTTTATACATGTAGATTAACGACATAGGAAAGTCAGAGTATTATTAGTAGTATTATAGTAGTTAGGATTCTCAAATGGCAAGTCGATGTCATTATAGTAGTATTATAGTATTAAGTATTATGAGACAGACTAGCTCATTGTTTGTTTTGGTGTTGGTTTTAACTGCCTGTAAGTAAAACACAGAATAACACCATCTTTGTCCTTTAAATTCCAGTTTTTGTAAAATATACCTTTTTAAATGTATCATCAGCACAATATAGACCTAATACAGTGAGTCAGCTTGACTATGTTTATGTTCCATGTTTATTATTGTAACTGCATGGTTTAATTAAATTGTGTTCTTTGTTGAAGTAATCTTTTGAAATAACTGTATGCAAATGAAATGAGGACAAATGAAAGGTATAATACTGCAGGTTTAATGAAAAGCAAAGTGTGCTTAACTTCTCCCAAAACTCCCATATGAAACCATAGACCAACCAACCAACCGTTTGACCGCTGAATGATCCTCAGTCTGCTTTCCTAATGCTGCCCTGTGGAATATGTAATACAAAGGCAGCTAAACTATGTTGATGTATAGTTGATGAATCGTTGATTATGTGGGAAAAGTGTGATTATTAGCCATGTTGCAGACACTGTAGTTCAATTTGTAGTTATTGTGACCACAAACACAAACATTCCTGAAGGGATTTCCTTATTTCTTCATTCCTATATTCTCTTTTACCTCCTCACTGTTTCTTATCTGTTCTTTTGCATTCCTCCACCCCCACCACCTCCCACTCATCCATCCATCCTGCCTGGACGGCACTCAGTGTCTCGGCTCACCGACCTGGTAAGCAGCGTTCGCAGGGTGCCGGCTGCTCCTGCACCTGCATCCGCACCCGAAGCAGACGCTGCCCCGGCGCTGGTACCCAGCGCCAGGCCTACCCCTTCGCCTGCACACACCACCTCCCCACCCCCACCCCACTCCCCCTCCAGCCCTTCCCTGTCTTCCTCCCAGAGTGAGTACCGAGCATGACCTGCCCCAACCCCACACATGGTAGCTGCCAATCATGGGGCTTAATTAAATGACATTTCATGATTTCAGCGCGGGCCTGTGCGTGAGCAAGAGTATTTAACAATCAGCGTGTTCTGCTTTTGGAAGACTGGTGATAGGGCTTGTGTTAAACTGCTCTCTTGTCAGCTGACTTGGAAATTAAACTCTGGATGTGTGGGCTTTTTACCTTTGAGTGTTATTAACCTCCTCTTCCGTCTGCCACACAGTGCACTGCTGACTGCGGACAGATTTGTGCATCGTTCGGTTGCTTGTGATGTTTTTAAATACATAGGTCACATTGCTTGTGGTGACAAGATGCCTTGTGCATTCTCATATTATAGTGTTCAGAATCACATGATGAGCAAGCTCTCTGCAGTATGTGTGTAGATTTATAGTTAGATTTTTTTATTTTTTAAGGACAAGAAATGTATTCCCAAACAAATTCAGTAATTAATTAACTTGCTGTTCAGGCTTCACACATTTGTCCTACTGAATCTACGTTTAGCAAAAGTAATTTCACAATAAAGCATATTTTTCCAGTTCATTATACAAACGCCAAGAGAAGTGGACACATTAGTTTCTGTTTTTCGGAAAGTATTCTCAGTAAGTATGAATGTATGTTGGGGTTCTCACTGCCCGTGCCTGAGCATCTGGGGTGTTGCGTTAAAACATAAAATTATTCTTTAACTAACTGCTCTCCATCTGTCAAACTGTTTCAATTGCCTCCCAGTTAACTTCTGTTCCAATTGTCCTCTGCAGCACGCAAACAAGAAATTATCAAGATCACTGAGCAGCTGATAGAGGCTATCAACAATGGAGACTTTGAGGCATACGCGTGAGTCTGCATTATTGTGTGTGCTTTGTGTTTGGCTTTTGTTCATATGGGTTCATAGTTTGGCTTCATGAGCACCTCCTGCTCTTTCCTCTTCAGTAAGATCTGTGACCCAGGACTGACCTCGTTTGAGCCGGAGGCGCTGGGGAACCTGGTGGAGGGGATGGACTTCCACAGATTCTACTTTGAGAACCGTAAGACTGATAAATGAAAATGATGTAATTTTTCAAATCGCTTCTGAGCTCATGTGGTTGCAGTCTTGCTTGTAAATATTGGGTTTATGTTTAGTTTAATTGTGAACATACTCTTGTGGTTAGTTTGAATCTTAAAATGGAGCTCAAAAAGAGAAATGTGCTCAGTCTACTCTTCATTAGCTGCTGTACATCACTCCATTTTCCCTACTGCCGGTTTCAGGTGTCAGAAAGAGACATGTTTCCACAGGGAGCATCAAATCAAAGTAGAGAAATCTAACTAAGGCTCCATCCTGAAAAAGCTAGACTCTCCAATGATGGCTGAAGATATTTCACAGCAGCTCCCACGTCTTCTAAAATAGAGATTTTGTTGAACTTGTGCTCAAAATTGTGTGCCAGTGTGTGAATCTGCACAACGAAGCTTGTAAGACTTTTCAGTAACACTTGGAGAGTACTACTACAGATAGTTGGAGTATTTGTAACAACAATTTGTTTCAACTGTTTGGCTTTGTCTGTAGATATTTAACAGATTATCAATAGAGCATATGTGACATTTCATGAACAAACCCTAACCAAGATGTTGGTTTCTTTTGTGCTTAAATCTACCAAACAGCTTATCGATTTTAACTGTCTGTAGACGAGTTATCCAAATAAAGTGTAACCGACGTTTCTTGTTAATACAATACACGTGAACTGTATGAAAATTATTATTAGTTGTAATAATAGTAGAGGAGTTGTTATATTCAACAGTATTACTGTGTTGTCCTGCTCATTCTTTCTCCTGACATTGCTCTTGTCATCTTTTTAAGTTTTGGCTAAGAACAGCAAGCCCATCCACACTACCATCTTGAACCCCCACGTCCACCTGATCGGCGAGGACGCGGCATGCATCGCTTACATCCGCCTGACTCAGTTTGTCGATGGCCAAGGTCGGCCGCGGTCCAGCCAGTCAGAGGAAACTCGCGTCTGGCATCGCAGAGATAGCAAGTGGCAGAACATCCACTTCCACTGCTCAGGCGCGCCAGCTGCGCCACTCCAGTGAGGTAAGGACCACAACACTGGGACAACTGGGAGAAAACTGACAGCAGGTGGCGTCTCAGTACTCGGACTACTTAGCTTTTTTTTCAAACTGCTACTTTGGAAAGAAGCTGCAGCTGTTTATTATTGTTTATGAATATATATTTTTAGGCAATAAAGCACTTCGTGTGATCAGATTAATACAGTAAAGAGGATACAGGATTTCACTTAACTGGCAGTTAAAGACGACAACCTAAGTGGAAATGGAGGAGAAGAAGAACAGAACAGTAGTTTGACAGATAGAAAAGTTAGTTGTAGATTTTACTCGAATCCTAAATTTAGTATTGGGCACATTGGCCACCTCACGGTTGGTTCTTGTGCGTTCTCACACTGTTTACAAGCAGAAAACAGTTGTGTTAAATCAAATGCTGAACAGATTTTATGTGAGAGTCAGCAAAAGAAAATTGGTGTGTGTTTCCATCAGCCCTTGGTATGCTAATAGTCTGAAGAAAGCGTTGGAACTCTGCTTAATAAGATGAGGTATTCCCACCAGTTAAACAACTAAACAAACAACTAGCCTGGAATTGTCCAAAAAGTTTAAAAATACACCTACCAGCTCCTCTGAAGCTCGCTAATTAACACGTGAGTTCTCGTTTGTTAAATTCATATAAAAACTGTTTTGATACCTTTGGACAGCCAGTTTCCAGTCTCTGTGCTAATCTAAGCTAAGATCATATTTACCCTGCAGACCTGAGAGTGGTCTCAGTCCTCTTGTCTAACATTCTGCAAGAAAGTAAATACGCCTTTTCCCTAAAATGTTGAACGATTTCTTTAATTTATTTGACACTGTTTTGTTTTCCCTCTCAGGGTTGAACGCCATAGCTGTTTCAGAAGTGCTCTGCTGGAGAGAGAGAGGAAGAGGAGAAGGGATGAAAGACCAAGTCCAGTGTCAGTTTGGGAACAGGGCTCCTCACCCTTCACCAACAAACTTCCCTCACTGGACACCCATCCTCAACCCCCAGCATGCATCTCTTCTTTTACTACTACTCCCCCCGTCTGTCACCTGCCCTACAACATCTTCCGACAACCATCAAACAAAATCAACTGGACGTCCAACGCTCCCCCCCCGGCTTCCTCTTCCTCCCTCCGGCACACTGGGTGATTTGCGGGGTGGGGGTGTTTTCAGCACTCTGTGTGATTCCTTCTTCCTCTGGTCTCTCTCTTGTGACACCAACCCTCTTGTCCTCCTGTGAATCCACACTTGTGTGACATAAACACTGCACTGGGAATACAGTATGTAAAGTTTTAAGTAAAATCTGTTATTATCATTGTTATTACGATGAGTATTATTATTATTATTATTACACATTTGCAATTGTATATGTCATTTGTATAATTCTAAATTCTTGATGCCAGTGGTTTCTGGAGTTGAAGGAATTTTTTTTTTTTTTTGTTTATCTATCTTTTTAAGGAAGCATGTTTTTTTTCCCCATATTAACAGTGGCTGTTTTTATTGTGGCTATTATGTGGAAAATGATATTGGCAGTTTTTGTAATTTGCTTGTATGTTAGCTATAATACTGCGCGCAAACTCATGGTCAGCTTGTTTTTTATTTGTTTTAGGGTTTTATTTTCTTAAAATTTTTTAGTTTATTCCTTTTTTTTTGTTTTTTTTTTTTTTTTTTTGGGAAGGGGTGTGTCTGATGGTGTCATGTGTTCATGTAGATAGTGTGTGTGTGTGTGTGTGACTGTGTACTTTGTGCTAGTCCAAACATAATAACTGTGGGGTTAACAGTTGGAGGAACCGCTTGTTCTTACATCATTGCGGAGTAAGAGTTAGCTAAGCTGAGTGTCTTCCTGCATCAAAACATGAACATTTCAAACATACAAAACAAGCATGCAATATGAGTTTTACCTTGAATTTACTTTTCCATCTTCATGTGTAACACTTTAATCCTAGAGTTTAATCCCCATTTGTATTTTCCATGCTGTAACAAGAAAAACATCCGGTCCAGAGAGGAAATATTATAGGCGACAACAATGATTCATTTAAAGGAACCATTAGATTTTTTTATTATTTTTTGGGGTGAAATCTTTTGATCTAGTATCTGCTTTAATTGAGCACAGTTTTATTGATAGATAGAATAGGCTGCATGTATACTAGTCCCAGTCCTGTTTTAATGTAAACCGAGGATTATTTTAAGACTGATCTAGAGAAACCTCAACAGGTTTAACTGGACGCTAAGGCATTGAAATAAGATTGTGTTAAGAAACCACAGACCATTTTGAACAAATTCAAGGCCGTCTTCTTAAAATACTCAAATCTCAGCTGTAGTATAAGAAATTGAATTCATCCTAATCCGCTCCTTATGAAATAGAAAAAGCGCAACACTTGTTAAATTACTAAATGCGTCAACATTTCGTCAAGTATTTATGTCTCCCACTAAGACTAAAAAACCTTTAACTACTTAATAAAACTCTGAACAAATGTGAAAGGACAAAAAAAATCAAAATCTAATGTTATTTCTTATTAAACCAACATAGCACCTTGTGATAGTATAAGAAACTCTTCTTGTTAATCTGAAATCATTTGGTATGTCATAATAACAAGAGAAATATGTCGAACTGTTACATTTAAGTAGCACTGTCGCCTCACAGCAAGAAGGTCGTGGGTTCAAACCCGGGTGCTCCGGCTTCCTCCCACCATCCAAAGTCATGCAGGCTAGATTAATTGGTGTCTCTAAAATTGCCCTTAGGGGTGGATTTGAGTGTGAGTGGTTGTTTGTCTATGTGTGGCCCTGCGATGGACTGGCGACCTATCCAGGGTGTACCCCTCATTTCGTCCGATGTCAGCTGGGATTGGCACCACGCAGGATAAGCGGTTGACGATGGATGGATGGATGGATGTTACATCTAAGTATTTTTTAATTAACGGATTTTCATGACAACAATCTGAGCACTATTTTTGGTCGCAGTATCGGCCCTTTGACGCCACACCTCTGCCTTTTTATACAGTGATGACTCATAAATCTCAGTGGGGGATCCAGGAGTTCAGTGTAGGGCCCTGTTTCCACCAGCAGCCTGTTTTGTTGTTTCGGCTAGTGGTGCTAAAAAGGTGCTCGTGGAGGGATGCGCTGTTGGTGGCTCCTGCTGTTGCTAGGCAACAGCTGAACACCCGCTTGAAGCTCAGCACGCTTTCCCTCAAAGTTGAGATATTTTTAGCTCTCTAAAATCACTGCGCTGTCTGACAACAAAACACAAGGCACTTTACTTTTTTTTCCAATCTAACATGACATACAAAAGAAATCAGTGCGCCAAAGGACAGGATGGCAGTAGCTGCGTGACATTTCTCACTTCCAAAGCCATGGGGCAGGAAGCTGGTGCCACAGCCCCTTTGTAGACATGAAGCACATGCAGTTAGGCCCACGTCAGTACTGAAGAGTCAAGGGCGTGTATGCTTGAAGTGTGAGGAGTTTTTTCCACTATACCTTGAGGTTTGTGTAGGGCTCCCCTGTTCTGTGGTTTGGTTCCCCATTTCAGGGCAGTCCTTTGCCACATGGTGCAATACTGTGTGTGTGTGTGTGTGTGTGTGTGTGTGTGTGTGTGTCTGCAAGCATGTACATCATTGCTCTCGGTGTGTATCCTTTACAAGCCCCTGGGAGTGGAGGGGTGGAGAAGGCTTTATTTCGGAGGACATATCAGTCCTCTGCCTTCAGCCCAGGACTGTTTTTTCCTATGATTTGATTCTTCTTTTTTGTCTTTTTTCTTTTTTTTTTCTTTCATGTATTATCAGCTTTTTGTGATATAAAGTGCTTGTGCCAGGGGTGGCAGGAATAATCCGATGGACTTTGCAGCACTGAAAACTGTTTTTGTGGGGGTTTGACTTGCGATCAGCTCCTCTGTACTTTGCTCATCCACCATTGGCTGCCTTCACATTAGTCTCACCCATATTGGTCAGACCAAGATTTTAAGAGACCGGGCAGTCGGTTTGGTGAATAGTCCTCAGGTTTCTATTTATTTTGAATATTTATTTATTTATTTTAGTGGATATTTTTATTGTGCTTCTTTCTCTTTGTTGTTTTGTTTTTTCTTATTGTACAGCTCATGCACTTGTGCAAGTACTGTCTGTTGCTGTTAAAAGGGACATGTAAAACGTTTTTAAAGGGATAGTACACCTGATTTGCATCCTGCATGTGTTTTTCTGTAACGACCAACATGGTGTTAATTACATTTTTTTTCCCGGCTTTTTTCCTTCTGAAACTTAAGTTTTAAGTTGTTTTTGACTTTATTTGTGCAGTTTTAAGGTGTCCATTTTTTTCTTCTAGTTAGGTTATTGCCACTTTGCCAGAGTGGGACATATATCACTTTATAGCTCATATAATACAGGACTGTATTTTGTGTGAACTATCCCTCCAAAACCTTTTTTTAAGGCGATGAAGCTTTTCTTTGAATTAAGGTTTTTTCCCAGGTGAACCAGTCGTTGTAATGTACTCGTGTCTCATCTAGTAACAGTGTTATTGCCTAGTCGACCCTGTTCTCATACTAAAAGGTCGAAGGTTACCCGAAGGCGTTCATGCGTGATCGTGCTAACTGAACATGACCCCCACCCCTCCGAAAAAAAGAAGAAATAGCAGCATGTACAGTTCAAATGTGTTGTTCTTCTGTTCTTCTTAGTGTGTTAACTTGAAAATCAATATAATAAGATTCACATATTTAAATGAGGGAGTACACAGTATTACACAACTGCAGCTAACTAGCAGCGTAGCTGGCATTTTCTTTGCATGACAGTCAACAAGACACTTGTTTTTTAGTGTTTTTCTTTTTATTTGATTTCTCATTTTCTACTGAATGCTGGTATACTCGACTTTCTCTATTTTCTCAGCTTTTTAAGTGCATATAACTATTTTTGTCTCAAGATGATATAATGATGATGATTATGATGATCAGGATGATTTTATGATGATGATGATGATATTAATGACTGTGGCACTATGAAGATGTTGACAGTGACTATGATGATGTGATGAAGATTACTGCGCATGCTTTTCTATGGGGCTCTGTGTTGTCAGTGCAGAATGGCTGCCTTTTGTACGTAGCTGAGAGAACACGAGGAACGCTTTTTGACTATCAGCACCAAGAGGGACTGGAGCGTCACTCAGCCTGCATGTAACTTTGAGGAACAGCACTTGAATCCAGCTGACAGATTAGAGGCAGTTCAAAGAGTGAACGAGCTCCAGCAGGGGGCGTAGTCACACAAAGTAAAGCACAAACACACAGACAGATGGCAGATCGATGCTTCTAATGTAGCTGCACAGTAAATTGACTTTAGTGTCAAAGCCAGCAGACAATCCAGTCAGAGACAACAGCAGTTTATAACTGTAGAATAAGGAGAAGCTTCCTGTATAATTATTGATCAGGGCTGCCCAATTAAGACCAAAATGACCATCCTGATCACAGTTTGACATCATGTTGTTGATGATTGTTTTCCTCAGGGATTTTGGGGAACAAAATCTTTCTCCTTTATTCATCTTATATAGCAAACTGTTTCCAGACTCGTTTTACATTCTTAACTAAAATGTATCTATACCACTGATCAATCATGATTATGTTTGATCAGAGCTGAAATCAGTGATTAATTGGGCAGCCCTACACATAAACTACAATAACCGTCCTTCTCTAGTCTCTGTGAGGTCAGTGCGAGCTCTGCTGCCTTCCTGTCAGCTGTCAGATGAAGTGTTTCTGAGATAAACTGGAGCTACTGTGCTGCTCTGAACCTCTGCCATCTTCTTTCTCCAGCCAGCGACTAAGTTGCACTGACAACACTGAGTTGGCTTCTCTTCGTAGGGCGTCTTTCACTCTTTCTGCCATTCAATCTCAATCCAACCTTCTCTAATCATTTCTCTGCAGTTGGCTCTTTCTAGTTTCCCTTTGTCTCTTTCTGTCGCTTTGGGTTTCTTCTGTATAATAATATTAATCCTCTAGTTCTCTGATTCTTGGGATTATCGCTCTGTTCTCTTACGTGCTACACGTGTTTCTATAACTTCAAGAAAATGTGTTAAGGTGTTATCAATAAAATGATCATTTAAATATTAAAGTGAATCAGTTTCTGTGTTTACAAACACACAAAGTTACAGCACAGCTTTGGTTTTTATTGACAGAAGTAACTCGGGACATAAATGAACTCATTAATGTTTGACCTGAAAACTTGCCAGACAGACAGGAAACATACATATTTTTGAATCCAGCTTAAAGTGAATCCACAGTTATCCAGTGTAAATCCTGAAGTTCATCCAACACAGGCTCATGTGTTGATGATGGGTTGCTTCACCTCTAAGGGACAGTTCACATAAACACAGGAACAAACAGCAGCTCTGCCTTTATAAATGTTCAAGATTTAGGAAGTAAATGCTGCTGTGATCATAGATTAATATTAGAGATCAGGATTAAGGTGACTACTGCGAGCAACCTTTAAAATCCACAAATCAAAGACAAGCTCAGGGCTTTGCAGTCAACATTTGGATGCAAATTATTGGAAATGTGGACTGTGGGTGAAGTTGTTAAATTAACTGTCATATATACCTACTAAACCATATAGGTGCCAATTTGAACAATCATTAATCGTTAAAATTATTAAGTTTTAAATATAAGCAACTGCCATTTTTCACAATTTTCTGATATTGTTTTGACAATCAAATCAACTAATGAATTGATGATAGAAACCACTTTTAGTTGCAGCCCTAATCCCCACAATCGTTAATATTTGATGGACCTTCAATTGTCTTATAGTTTTGAGCTACTCTAATTTAGACTGAAGCCTAAAGACAAATTGTTTCAAGCAGTATGAAGTAATTTCTGCAGAATTTTTTATAGTCAAAGACGAATAAATAAGGAGACTGAGTTTGTTCATGTGGATAAAACTGAAATAATAAAATATGTCTGACAGTCAACAGTAACCTGTATTTCATGACACACATGGTAAACAAATAACTGCTCATCTTTGGAAAATCATCACATTAAAACTTCTTGTCCCAGTTGGTGTGCATGTTTAATCCATGCACACCATTTTAGCAAGAAAGCTTCACGTACCTAATTATGCCGACATTTATAGTTTATTTTTTGTGCTTTGGAAATATTTAATATTTCTCCCTCCTCCACCTCCCAGCTGTGTTTCCCTGAGCTGAAGCCCTCAGAGCCCAGAACATCTGCATACTTAGTGAATCTCTCTGGATTGTCAGGAAGCTGCTGATTTGTGTCTCCACGTCTCACACTGGTCAGATCATCAAACAGGTAGAGCCAGGTGTCTGCAGTGTCTGGGTCCAGAATGTCACTTGTTTCAACAAATGCACTCAAGGCTGCAGTGACCTGTTATACGAGTCTTTTCAGAGAGAAAGTCACTTCTGAATGACGACCTTTGATCAACATATTGCTCAACAGTCAGTGTAAGCAAACTTGCATCATTAACAACAATGTGAGTTTGTTGAAAGTTTCAGCTCTTCAGACTGCAAGAATCCCAACATGTAGCTACAGAAGACCACACAGATGTTTTACTGATCTCTCTGCAGAGTAAGTACTAGAGTTGATGAGGTACATGTGCATATCTGAGTGGATTCCTTTCATACCAGAGTACTTGAGGAAACCGCTGAACTGAACTAATTCTTTAAACCTCCATCCTGGAACAAGCATGGATAAACTATGGAACTTGATACCAACACACTTCACCTGACTGACTGACTTAATTCAGCCATTCAAAGAGACAGAGATGAAATCAGAAGTCACACTAACACTATTCTCTCTGTTGAACGATTACTGAACAGCAGGTTAAACAGACAGTCACGTTCAATCTTTCTTCTCTCATATCCTCTATTAAACTATTTTGACAATGACCTCTAAACTCTTTCGGATCAGAAAACTTTTATTTAGAAGAGCAGAAAATCTACAGTAAGTTTGAAGTCACCGTTTTACCTGTTAAGATTGGTGTCACTGGCTGCACTGCTCTGCTCTCGTCCCAGTGCCGATGGAAGGACAGTCCTTCTTTGTGGATTGAAGACATCGTGTCAACATGAAGGTCCTCACCCAGGAGCTCCAGAGGCCACAACATCACAATAATCCAGCCAAAAACCAGCTGCTACTTCAAAGCAGAGTCCTCACTACAGCTCAATCTTACAGCATGAACTTTTAGCTTTTCTTTAAGTCGCCATGCCACATACAGCTTTCACGATAACAAATTTCATTGACAACTGCACTATGAAATGTTACATTTTATTTCTAAAGTCAGTCAGTGTACTCCTCTTTTCTGACTGACACATTTTCCCAAGTGCTATCCACCAGGCATGAATTACGATGTCCATAAAAAGACAAATGGCAAATGCAACTGTAAAATCCTAAGTTGAAATCCTTTTTTATCAACCATGACATCACACAATACAGGGTTATACAAAATGGCAGTCTTAGTGTGCAGCAACACTTCCAAAACAACCCAATTTAAAACCAAATCAGAAATTGATCAAATATCTCGTGTCCTCAGAGTAAATCGACGGCCACCAAATTAAAAAAGAATTGCCTAAAGTTTCCATACACACTACATAATGACTGGTTGACAAAAAGAGGCTTCTTTTCAATTCATTATGATCTTAGAAACATACATGTAAAAAAATCACTTGATATTATTAATACAAATTCATTAAGAATCCCCCGCGACCCTGTACGCAGGATAAGCGGTTGATGATGGATGGATTCATTAAGAATCAAATTCTATTTTCTTTAAAGATAAAGCCAAAAAAGCAGCAATTTAATTAGATACAAAACAACATGACCAAATTATTCAGTTATAATCATTTCAACAGTGAGTGGAATGTCAAAAATAAAAGACAAAAGTTTCATTTTCTAACTTTAGCTAAACTAACATTGATTACAAACACTGATTGATATGTCAACCTAACCACCGCCACCACCAACAACTACAGCTAACATTCCTGAACGTCACAGAGAAATCTGAGTTTGATAGATTTTGATATCAATAGTCTTAGCATCGTTAAGACCAATATTAAAATATGGGAAGAGTTTCTCAGTGAAAGTGTCTCTGTAAGTGTAGATGTGAGTCATGTCTTCAGGCTCGTAGAAGGACACCTCGCCCTTGTCATAGTCCAGCTGGACTCTGATCCTCTGGAGACTCTTCTTCACTCTGACAGTCTTGCCAAGACCATTAGTGTATTTTCCACTGTCATGTGATAAACACCAGATTCCATAATCTGGCGAGGCGCCTGCCTCCGCCTTCCTGTCAACCGACTCTTTAACCACACCTACAAGCCAGACAGGGTGGTCTCCCACCTCCACCTCCCAGCTGTGTTTCCCGGAGCTGAAGCCCTCAGAGCCCAGAACAGTGGCATACTTAGTGAATCTCTCTGGATTGTCAGGAAGCTGCTGGTTTGTGTCTCCACGTCTCACACTGGTTAGATCATCAGACAGATAGAGACCGGGTTTTGCAGTGTTTGGGTCCAGAATGACAGGACTGAAGTGGACCTTGTCCTTCATTTTCTCCCAGACTCTGAAGGACAGGTTGCCTAGGTGTTTGGCCACATCTATCAGCGCTCCTGAGACCAGCTGTGGATCTGACTGTGAGCGCTGGACTCTGGCTCTGGTCTGAGTGGCTTTATAACTGCTGATGAATGGCACGCTGGGTTTCTGCAGGTCTTCTTCAACAGCAGAGATACTGTCTGACAGAGAGGAGATCTGCTCCTGAATCTTCTTCATCTCTCTGCTCACAGTCTCCCCCTTCTGCTCCTCTTCCTCCCTCAGAGCTGCCAGTCTGGACTCCTCTTCCTCTTTCAGGAACTGGTGGAGCTTGTTGAACTCGGCTCTGATCTGCCTCTCTGTGGACAACAGCTGCTTCTTGGAGAGTTGAATCACTTCATTGTATGTTTTCTCCACTTGTTTGTATTTGTCCCTCTTGTCCTGCAGAGACTCTAAGTCAGATTTCAGCTGGCCCTTCAGGTCACTGACTGCTTGTTCTATAGGAACGACCTTGTGATTCTTGTGGAGAGAAAACTCACAGACAGGACACACAGCTCTCTGCTCGTCCTCACAGAACCAATAAGGGACGTCTGAATGTTTATCACAAAAGACTTCCTCTTTCTGCTTTTCTTTTTCTGTCTCAGGTGAACCATTATTCTGCCTCTCAGCAAAGGAGTCATCGAGTTTCTTTAGTGCAAAATTCACATAATTATTTGAGTATTTTCTTTTACAAATGGGACAGTTTTTATTTTCAGCTTGTTCCCAGAATTTCTGCAGGCAGCTTGAACAGAAGCTGTGGTTGCAGCTCAGAGACACAGGATCTCTGGAAGTCTCTGAACATACGTGGCAGTTCAGGTAACTTTCATCAAGAGCGGTTTTATCAGCCATTTTCTGATATGTTAATTATCCTTAAACGGCCTGACTCACCAAATCTGTGTTCCTTTGAGGTAGACTCTTGTGTGTTGCATTTATAGTAGAGATCTTTCTTTATCTTTCTATACATACAACATTGCAATGGCGTCTCAGGTCTTTTCTGTGCTCCGTTTATGTCAAACTTAGCTTTAAGTTTCACTTTCTGTTCACGTAGCTGACAGCAGAAATTTTATTTCTTCTACCAGCAGGTGGTGCTATTTGATTTATTAACAAATACAGTAACAATTTACAACTTTCCACACTTAGTGCCATAGCATTGTTATTTCTAAATATATATATATATGTAATATATATAGTAAATACTAGGTAAATACCAAGGTTAAAACCCCAAATATCCAAAATTTTAACATGTTTAAGCAATAATCACCATGTCAATTCATGTCTTGTAATGCAAGTGTTTGAAACATTAAATCATTATTTCATTAAATGACAGTGTACTCTCCCAAGACAATGAAAATCACTGCAAGTAAGTATTTTATTTGTGCAGAGAAAAATGATAATGTAGAAAAAGAAGTTGTGCCACTGAAGAAAAACATTTCCTTTTAAAATCCATAAGCACATAAAATAACAAGAAATATTTACAACTGCATTGTACACAACAAAAATGTTTATGAAAAACATAAATATTTAAAAAAAACACACACAAAAACAATACATGAACATGACTCTTTTCAAAAAATTAAATTAAATTATAAATAACCAGCATCCACCCTCAGGCCAGTTTCACCAATCTCTCACTGGCCTCCCACAGTTTTTTTGCTACACCAGCGTCTCTCGCGAAAGGACGCAGAGTAGCTGGTCGGCAGTCGGCGAAGTAACCTCCGCTGTGTTTGGCAGCTTCATCTGACACAGCGCAGTAGATGACAGTCTGAGCTCCAATCTCACACGGCACAAAAATCATCCACATGATCACCTGCATCAGCATCCGGAACAGGATGGAGTAGTGGCACGTCCAGCGACTCTGGAGAAGACCTAGAGCAACACGTGCGAGCAGAGATATTAAGAAATATTTATACAAATAGTGTCAGGAATATACAGCTCGCTCAGCTCATTCTTGTTATATAAAAAACAACCTCTTACCAGGGTGCACAGCATAGGAGGTCACTCCCTTCCCTTCGGTGATGCGGGCCAGTTCCTGACTGAAGTAGATGTTGGCCAGTTTGCTGCGGCAGTAGGTGAAGAAGGGCAGCAGGTTGTAGTTGAGGTCCTGGAAGTCCAGTTTCTGGTATTTGTATGTGGAGCATGTGAGGGTGATCACCCGGCTGGGGGCGCACTCCTTCAGGCGAGGCAGAAGCAGATTTGTCAAGAGGAAGTGACCCAAGTGGTTGACGCCAAAACACATGCTGAAACTGTCGTCTGTCCAGTCGAGGACACCAGGCACGCCTGAATAAGCAACAAAGACGGTGGAGAAAGAGGTCAAAACAATGAGGTGGAGAAAAAGCAGGAAGATATGGCTTTTAGCTTAGGATGCTTTTCATTCATTAACATTGCCACAATGATTTGGGCTTCAAGAATATATCTTAAAGTTGATAAGCTGATACGGACAGAGGTCAGAGTGCCTGCTCTGGTGCATCCAGTTTAACACTCCATATTCACAGGTAAACTGTCCGACCAATAGCAGGCTTTTTTGTTTTTGACCACTGATTTACTTATTACTAATCCAGTTATTTATATTTCAATTCTCTCAGCTTCACTGGCCTCTCTATGTCTGTGGCCCCAAGCAGGTCAAGGATACAGTATTGCTTCAAAAAAAAAAAGAACAAAAGAAGCTGAATAATGTTCTAAAACTGTGTGTTTTAGCACACGGGAGCATTTTCAGCTGCAGATTTGGTGCTCTAGTGAGTCTTTACAGCAGCAGGGCGGTGGATGTTGGACTGAATCAAAAAAAAAAAATGGCTGTGGTGATAAAATAATATGTGGCTCAACCCTTTTGTTGCTAAACATGACAGAAGTCAAGTTATTTTTTATTCATAGAGCCCAAATAAGAACACAGCAGGAGAGAATAATCTTAGTAAATTATACATGATCTCAATACTGAGATATTTGTATGCCAAGTCTATTTAATTTTTTATATCCCAAAATCACATTTGGCTCAGAGGGCCTCACTGTACAGCACTATCTATACTTTATTCAGACAAGAAAAATGTAATTTTTAAAAAAAATGCATGTTGAGACCTCCATGTGGCCACCCTCACCTGCATTATTGATCAGGATGTCCAGCCTCTTCTCCCTGTGGAGAAAGCTCTTACAGAATTTCCTTACTGAGCGCAGGTTGGCCAGATCCAGCTCCATGTGAAGGACGTTTAGGCTGCGACTCTGGAACTTGATCTCCCTGACAGCCTTCTCAGCCTTTTCCACGTCTCTGCAAGCGATGATGACACGGGCGCCTCTCATTGCCAAGGCAACAGCTGACTCCTTGCCAATGCCAGAATTTCCACCTGCAAAGAAAAAAACAACAAAATAGTAAATCCAAATGTGTTTTATTGCACTTGTGAGGATTATAACTTGAAGGCAACAATACTGGCTGCAATAATGTGAATTTTATTGTAATATCAGATAACAGGCAGTGATATGTTTGGTGTAAATGTCATGTAGCTCCCATATGTCAGTCTGACTGACTTATCAATTCAAACTACGCTGATCTTCATACATAGGGTCACCTAACATACGAAGTTACTAAACGCAGATATTTGGTGCAATAAACAGGACGTTTATTTACCTGTAATAAGAACTGTTTTGCCATCAAGTCTTGTCAGGTCGGTGCAATACCTTCTTTTCTTCATCCATTTCAAAAGGAAAAAAGAAACTAAAGAGGCAATGACTGTGTACAGAACATACATTTCCCTGTGAGTGCAAACCTTGAGAGCTGATATCTTTTATTATGAGCAGCTAACGTTACTGATGCTGCTGTCTATGTGAGCTAACGGCAGCTAGCTTGATGGCTTGCTAGATGACTGAGAAAAACAACATTGTTTCCCCTACTACTCCGTCATCCTGGTTCTTGTCGCGGTGAACGTGGCAGAGTTGATTTCAGGACAAATTAAATACAAAAGATGAGTTATTTTTATAATATTTCACAGTCCCCTGCAGCTCAGTCTGAATCACTTCCATGGAGGCTAGAGTGACGTGTGCACATGCGCCCAATGACCAGATACCGCCAAGTACCGCGAGAGTACATAACTGCGTGAATAAACACTCACATCAACAGTTAACTCTCTGCAAAGTCTCTGGTCTCTGCTAAAATGCAATGAAGACGAAACTATGAACAGGTCGGTGTGCGTATTGGGCGGCATATTTATTGTGTGTTGGTACGCCTGAAGAAAAAAACACATATCGACCTACGTTTAATTAATATCTGTTCATTAATAACTGCAATCAGAAACTCGTAAAGTTAATGTTTGTTTGCCTTTCCAAATGACCTTTGATACACTGCACGACTCATTAAGTTGTCAGAGTTAAAGACAGGTATGCGTGTCCACGCAGTGTTATTTTGTTCTCTAGATAACACAAACATGAGAGGTCACTTGAAAGAGACCGTTTTTCTCTGTGGAATATTTCTTATTTGCTCATCTGAAATAGCTGGTAAGTCACATTTGAAGACATTTTAGGGAGTAAAGATTAATATTAGCTGCAGTTCAAATTCATAGTTCCACTTTTGCATAGAAGAAACACATTTAAAAATGTTATAACTTGTTTGTATTGTGCATTTTAACTAGATAGAGCAAACTCAATGAAGCAATGTGGTGTGCGGGTAAAAATGTTACCTATCATAGAATTCAGTGCCGTTGATTTATTTTATTTTATTAATAGATGATTTTGAGAGCATTAGGCTTCCTTTGTGATATTGATTTTGTTTTTTAATAAGGTCAAACATGCAGGGGAAAGTGTGGAGACATAGTCGAGGAATGCTCCTGCCATATAACCTGTGTGTCTTTGCTGAACTGCTGTGCGGACTACAACCAGTCCTGTTTCCAGGTGACGCCTCACTCCAGCTCCATGCTGGGTGGAAAAGTTCTCAGGATCCTTGGTTTGGTCCTTCATCCTGGTGGCCGACTTCTCTGCAGGTTCTCTGATGAAACTGATAAACTAATGTACTGAACAGCTGCCTGCCATTAAGGACTGGATGGCTAACAACTTATTACAGCTCAACACAGATAAGACTGAGGTCCTTATTGTTGTCTCTGACAGCATAGGTCCTATCGTTGCATATTGGGTCAATAAATACTAGTAAGAGCTAACGTACAGCATCAGTGAGGTAAATACCTAGGGAATGAAGTAAGAGTTAATGAAATAGTGCAATAAATACAAGATAATTGTAAGGGCATAGAAAAAGAGCACAGGAAGTGCATGTTAGAGGTTAGTGGTTAAAGGTGTTATAAGAGAAAGAGATGAGTTTTCAAGAGCTTCTTGAAGTTAGAGAGGGATGCCCCTGCTCTCATGGCTTGAGTTATATTTGATAAATCTGTGTACTTTGACCAACATGTCAAATCACTGACCCGTACATGTTTTTTTCATTTAATAACCAATGCCAAACTCAGATCTTTTGGATGACAACGTAAGCTAGAGATGATTCATGCTTTTATATTATCCAGGTTAGACTAGGTGGCAGCTAACACAATATCCACACAGAAGTACAGACAGTAACAGTCTGAAAATGAATAATGGTACAGAGATATTTATAGTAATGTTAATGATAATAATAACAATAATAATAATAATAATAATAATAGGACTAGTAATAACAATTGTAGCAGGAACATGGTAGCAGCTGGCGGCTCATAACCGCAGACCCAGAGTCCAGGGCTCCCGAGCTAGAAGCACCTACAGAAATTTAGAGGAGGAGAGGGACGAGGAAAACACAAGATTATGGGAAACGGAAGCAGTTGAGTTAGTAACATGCATTAATGGGATGAGGCTGCATACAGATGGAGAGAAAGAGGAGGAGAGAGGAGCATAGTGCTTCATGGGAAATCCCCCAGCAGTCTAGGCCTATTGCAGCATAACTAAGAGATGGTTCAGGACTCACCTGAGCCAGCCCTAACTATAAGCTTTATCAAAGAGGAAAGTCTTAAGCCTGCTCTTAAATGTGGAGATGGTGTCTGCCTCCTGAACCCAAACTGGAACCTGGTTCTACAGGAGAGGAGCTTGATAGCTGAACGCTCTGGCTCCTAGTCTACTTTTGGAGACTCTAGGAACCACAAGTAACCCTGCATTCTGGGAGCACAGTGCTCTGGTGGGGCAGTAAGGTACTATGAGCTCTTTAAGATAAGATGGTGCCTGACCATTAAGAGCTTTGTAGGTCAGCAGAAGGATTTTATATTCTATTTAGGATTTTACAGGAAGTCAGTGCAGAGAAGCTAAAACAGGAGAAATGTGATCTCTTTTCCTGGTTCCTGTCAGAACACGTGCTGCAGCATTCTGGATCAGCTGAAGAGTCTTAATGGACTTTTTCGAGCAGCCTGATAATAAGGAATTGCAGTAATCCAGCCTAGAAGTAACAAATGCATGGACTAGGTTTTCGGCATAATTTTTAGACAGGATGTTCCTGATTTTCGCAATATTACATAGATGAAAAAGGCGGTCCTTGAAGTTTGTTTAACATGAGCGCTGAAGGACATGTCCTGATCAAAGATAACTCCAAGATTCCTCACAGTGGTGCTGGAGGCCAAAGGCGATGCCATCCCAGGGAAACTATATCTTTAGATAATGCGTCACGGAGGTGCTTAGGCCCCAGAGCAATAACTTCAGTTTTATCTGAGTTTAACATGAGAAAATTACAGGTCATCCAGGTTTTAACATCCTGAAGGCACATTTGAAGTTTAGCTAACTGATTAGTTTCATCTGGTTTGATCTTTAATGCCAATTAAATGTTCCATGTCTCTGTAACAGGATCTGATGGTCAATGGTATTAAATGCAGCACTAAGATCTAATAAAACCAGTACAGAGACAAGTCCTTTGTCTGATGCAATTAGAAGGCCATTATTGCTGTGATGCACTCAAAATCCTTACTGATATTGCTATGTAGTAAGTCCCACAACTGTTTGGCAACTGCTTAGAGAGAAAGGGAAGGTTAGAAATAGGTCTATAGTTTGCTAAAACCAGTTAATAAAGACAGATTGATCATATCTATTAAAGAAGTACTGACTTAGGGTAAAACATCTTTAAGCAACCTAGTCGGGATGGGGTCTAAGAGGCAGGTTGATGGTTTAGATGAAGAAATTATTGAAGTTAGTTGGTAAAGATTGAGGGAAGCAAAACAGTCTAAACATGTATCTGGTTCTACAGCTGTTTCTAAGGTTCCTGAGTTTAGAGATAAGTCGGTGCCAGTTGAGGGCAGGTCTTGGTGAATTTTGTTTCTAATAATTATTATATTATCATTAAAGAATCTCATGAAGTCGTAACTACTGAGAGCTATGGGAATAAATGGCTCAATAGAGCTGTGACTCTCTGTCAGCCTGGCTACAGTGCTGAAAAGAAACCTGGGGTTGTTTATTATTTTCCTCTGTTAATCACGAGTAGTACGCTGCTCTGGCATTATGGAGGGCCTTCCTATAAGTTTTAAGACTATCTTGCCAGACTAAACAAGATTCTTCTAGATTCGTGGAACGCCGTTTCCTTTCAAGTTTCCCTGATGTTTGCTTTAATTTGCAAGTTACTAAATTATACCACAGAGCAAACCGTCTTAAGTTATCAAATACTGGTGAGGTAAAAAGGGATTCTGTGGGAACACTATTAAATGTTCAATTTGAATACCATATACAACAAAGTCAAGGGTGTAGTAAAAACAGTGAGTTGGTTTATGAACACTTTGAGAGAAACCAATTGAGTCTAATAGAGAGATAAACGCAGTACTATTTTTCTCACCGTCCACATGGATATTAAAATCATTAATATTGAGTGGAGTGGATTCATTTAGGCTAACATATTCTTCATCACCAAGCCAGGTTTCAGTAAGACAAAATAAATCAATATTATAATCTGATTAATTTATTTACTAGTACAGCTTTTAGATGAGAGGGATCTGATGGTTAAGAGTCCACATTTAATCCTCCTAATTTTTAGCACTTTTGCACTCTTCGTTTTAATTTCTATGAGGTTTTTATGTACAGCTCCTCTTCCGTTTACCTTTGGTTTAAATAATTTCAATGGTCGGGGGCCAGACACCGTCACCATGGGGTTTTGACTAGGCAACTGCTGAAATGGAAGCGCAGAGAAGTGTGTTAGACTATGACTCTGCCTCCAGGTCTCAACTCTGGATTGTCATGGATTTGGTCCACTAATAAACTTGTCCAGATTTGTAGATATGAGAACTGCTCCATCCGAAGTATGATGAATGCCGTCTTTGGCCCCAGGGATGCACTTAGAGTCGTTAAAAGATATAAAGAACTGTTAGTGCTTAAGCAGAACTACTGTAAGATTAAGTGTATAGCGGATAAATAGCCGTGGTAATGACATATCTTACAAATTTAACTGGTTTTCAGTTAGCGCAACAAAACACTACAAGCACTGGAAAAAGAAATACGCTTACCGTATCCTCGTTCCTCGTGCTCGACTAAAAAGAAAAGTCGTTGAAGTGGTGGTGCCCACTCTTTGGAACGCAGTTCCTTTAGACAGACTTTCTGCAGGTCTGTTGACGCCTTTAAAAAGCAGCTGAAGACTTTTGTACAAACTGGCCTTTGTCTTGTCTTGTGCTGTCTAATGTGTGCAGTCTTGTGTGTTTTTAAGGTCTTTTACTACTAATGTTTTATCGTTTGTTTTTTTTACTGTAAAACATACTGCAATGGGGCTGCTTATGTTTCATTGTTGTTTAATTACTGTTTTGATGGTCTCATTTGTAATACTTTATTCTTCTAAAGCACTTTGTGACCTGCTCTGTAAAAGGTGCTAGATAGTAAATAAACTTTACTTACTAATTGATGTTAGAACCTAGTGCATTATCTGATAAAGTATTGATAACTCATAATTGTGTCAATATTCCAATATTTTTTATCTTCAGAAAAGGCAACAGTCAATGCCAAATCTTACACAAAGTGGAAATAAACATTAACAAAACACTGAAAAAGTGTCACAAAACAAATAAATGTTAAAATGGTGCCTGACAAGAAATTGTGCAACTTAATTAGTAAGTAAGTGCAAATTAATGTATGCATTAATAATGTTTCTGCATTTAAAACAAATGGAAACATGTTGTCTGTAAAGACAACCATGATGAGGTCTTTGAAATTATATATTGCATTCTCTGATGTTGTGGTTTCAGTATAATATCAAAATGCACAATAATTTCCATTATTATTGTCCCATGAAATGTTTTAATGATCTGCTCCCATTTAAAGCTGTAAAGACTTACTTTCCCAGATTGTTCTTAAATGTCACGTTGCATGAAAACACTTAAAATTGTTATTCTACTGACCATATAAGGCCAGAGTGTACAGAAGTGAAATGGTGTAAACAACAAAGTAGTAGTAGTGTGTAGCTAACCAAAAAACAAAAATATTCATTTTGTCTGTTTCTGTTGCAGGTTCAAAGGTGAGCTTGAACGAGAAGGGTTCATTGATGCTGAAGGCCACGCCTACTGTATCTCTCCTTTATTGTATGAGACGGGTTGGATACCATTTGCTGTCTCAACAGACGGAATACATTTTGACAGATCTGGAGAGTACTTGTCAGGTATGTTGCTGAAATATAAAAATTATGTTAAAGAATATTTCTTAGGGGGCTTAATTGATATAAGGAAAGGTAAGACAGGTCTAGCTTGGAGTCATTAGCTGAGCCCACAAGTGTTCACTGACCTTCCAGCTCTAGTTATTTCTCACATGTTATTTTCCTTGTTAGAGAGACAACAGTTGGACTGATAAGGTAGAGACAGTAGCTCAGGCGTCAGGCTCGCAGTGTTCTCAGTGTTCTCTGGGAATCTGGCAAGTGGGTTCAAACCCCAGTTGCCCCGGCCTTTCTATGTGGAGTTTGCATTTTATCCCGGTGTCCGTGTGGGTTCTCGCCAGTTGTTTAACTATGTGTGGCCCTGCGATGGACTGGTGACCTGTCCAGGGTGTACCCCGCCTTTTGCCCGATGTAAGCTGGGATTGGCTCCAGCTCCCTGCAACCCTGTACGCAGGAGAAGCGGTTGACGATGGATGGATGGAGTAAATTCCTTGTTCTAGTTATAGCTTTTAAGACCATCCAGAAAATACAAACTGATGCAACTGATAATATGATACGACATATATATGATATAAGCATGTAACTATTTATGCAACTGTTTCATACAGTTTTATTGACCAAATTACCTCACTTTTCTCTTCTTCTGGTTGCAAAACCTGACATATTTATGCACTTCAATATTTTCTCTCTGTTAGTCCACCCCAGTAAAGCAGACCCTGCCTTTGAAGTCACCCTGGTGAATTCAACACAGTGGCTGTACTACGGCACTCCAAACATGGCAGGACGGCTTAAGATGATATGGAACAGCTCTTTGGTTGGAACAGAGAAGGTCAACATAGAGCTGTGGGGTTACAGAGAGTTCAGCAGGGGCACAGAGGCAGGGACGAACGGATCGTCCTCTCTGCAGGCCGAGCTGAGCTACCTGTACTCTCTCGGCAGGAGCCTGCCCAACACTGGTGCCTTCAGCTTCATCCCCGAGCCTTCAAAGAACCACTCTGACTGGGTGTTGGGGAATATCCGCATCACTGCAAGTTCTATGTCAGATGGAGCAAGGTATCCATAATACATATCAAGCATCGTATCAAGAAATATCTCAGTCTTAATAAAAGTATGCAACATAAGAAAACATCTAATGGAAACATTTCTGCCGTTATTTGGCTAATACCAGAAACAATTCTTATTAATTGGCACAATCCTAGAAACAAGTGAAAAAAGGACAGTATTTGCAAATGATTTTAAAGTTTATTTAGCATTTATCTATCAAGTATCAGAACATCCATGTTGTTCACTTATATGATGAAGAGGTGATCGGGATTTACTCATCAGATCCTCACATGTGCCTGGCTGTAAAACCTAAAATCCAAAAGCCTTATGGAGGTGATGACCAAAAATAGTGTAATAAACATGGGCTGTATGTTGAGTTTGACTGTCCCATTGATTCCAGAGTTAAGTATTTGCAGATGTTCTCAAATGTTAGGCGCTGCTCTTTTGTGTGTTTTACATACATGTTATTGGAATGTTTTTGGGCTTTTCTATTGTTGGTTGGACAAAACAAGCATTATCAAGATGTCACCTTGTGCCCTGGGAAATGGTGAGAAGTCTTTGACAACTTCTCCACTGAGAAGAAAGACAGAAAAAATCACATAATAGGTAGTACTAATTCGAACTTTCATTTAGAAGTTTATATTTTAGGACAAATAGCTCTTTCAAAGTAAAGTAAAATGGTAATTGTTTATATGCAGGGATGTAAAGGGGCTCTGGAGTGGAGGTCATGTCTTAGCCTGGCACCTGGAGTACGCTTTCAGAGATGACTCTGCAGCCTGGGCCAAGAGCAAGTGTCTGCAGTGGGACGTGTTGGAGAAGAAGCTGCCCAACTTCCTGGATGAGCTCATTGACTGTCCTTGCACTCTGGCACAGGCCCGAGCAGACACAGGCAGGTTTCATGTGAGTGCACTTCAATGTATCTAGTATTATTATATCATTAATATTTTATTTTTTTAATGTTTTGTTATTGTTAATTTCATTGTGCAATTCTGTATTGAACAATGACAATATAACTGAACCTGGACCTGAATAACAGTATCAGTAATATCAGTATTGCTATAATTGGTATATGTAATTAAAAAATGTACGTTACTTAACTAAATTACAGACTGTAAGAAAATAACCGGAAGAAAAGAGTCATTTCACTAGTAGATATTCATCTGTTGCACAAAATAAAACAATAACAACCCTATGAAATCTTTGTTAGGGAAAAAAATATGGAAGCAATATAAAGATGGCCAAAGCATGCTTTGTCTCTACACTGTCTATTTAAGATCAAATTCAATATGAGACCAATAATTGTATCATGCAGGTTATGCACAGTTCCTGTCAGAAATTTTATTTTATTTTCAGGTCCACTAACATTTTTTAGACCCCTCTTCCCAAAGCAGTACTTGGATAAGACACACATGGATGTTGAAATGATCCTAAATGTATTTATTGCCAAATCATATTAAATCACATTTATTATTTCATTAAAACTGATTTTATTCACTGTGTTATTACAGACTGACTATAGTTGTGACATTGAGAGGGGCAGTGTGTGCACTTACCACCCAGGTAGTGTCCACTGTGTCAGAGCAGTTCAGGCCAGGTAAGAGTGACAAGAGAACAGATCAAGTTTTTACCTTTTTACAAGTGAAAATCCCTTCCCTTCCCTTCTTGACACAATTTTCTTCTCACATTTCCAGCCCTACGCAGGGATCAGGGCAGCAGTGCTGCTATGACAGCACAGGTGCACTGGTGCTGACGGGAGACTCGATCGGTGGCAGCACCCCAGACAGGGCTCACGACTGGGGCTCACCTCCATACAGGGAGCCACCGCGGGTGCCGGGGTACTCCCACTGGCTTTACGATGTCATTAGTTTCTACTACTGCTGCCTGTGGTCTGACCACTGCCACATCTACTTCAACCATCGGCCCTCTAGCGGCTGTCGCAACTACTGGCCTCCAAGAGCTGGTGAGAGCAAGTTAGATCAAGTGTTTTTATAGATTGCTTTTAACACATACGTCTCAACATGCTTTACAGATTTCAAAGGACACACAAAATGGATACAAACTAATAATAAAGCACAGTACCACAGCACAGTGAGGATGATTACCCTATTGAGACCTAATTAACCAGGTTCTGATATCAGATTTCTGGTTCATTAGTTGCTCGGCTACTATTATCCTTAAGGTTTATGATTCATTATTTTAGTCAACATTAACAACAACAACATCCTTTTTTCTTATGACTTACATTCAGACGGATTTTATGATACAAATGTGTTTGTTAAGTATCAAACGTGAATGTTTAGCTGCATTTTGGGAGTTTACAGTTATTGAGATGATAATGTATGTCATAATAAATCTGGCAAGATCGGGATATTCTATATTTCTTAACATCTAACATACAGTCACCTATTTATATGGATAAAGAAGTTTAACTCTGGTTTCCATGGCTGAATCTGGGGTAAAACTGAGACTGGAAAATTTACATTACAGACTGCAAGAAAGTGTATGTTTGTTAATCTGTATTTAACTGCCTCTGGGTGGCTACACACACATACTCTACTACTGCAAATGGACATTAGAGTAGCAGGTGATACCAGATCAGTTTGCAGGAGAAGTAAATGAATTACAGACTGCAGCTGAGAGTTAAGATGTGGAAAAATATAAGATCACACAATTTACTACCTGCTCTTCAGAGACTATAAACACAACAATAAGCCGCATACTGGTATTAGTAGAAAACCAGTGTTTAGATGAGTAAGACATCAGCCGTGTACTGTTCGAAACAAATATGTTTGTGCCAAAATGTGTATTTGATGTAAACGCATCAGCGCTTTGTTTCTCGACGCCTCACAGGTGTTGTCCTTGGGGATCCGCATTTTGTAACGTTTGATGGCCTCAGCTACACTTTCAATGGCAAAGGAGAGTTCTACCTTGTGTCTTCGCCAGACAGAGAGCTGAGTGTTCAGGCCAGAACAGAGCAGGTGAAACTTAAGAACGGTGAGTCCACATTTGTTATGAAAGCCATGTTTGTGGTTCCCCTTTCATCCCCATGCTACTACTGTAACCCTCTCTTTCAGCTTAAAGCTTTCTTTGGATGAAACTTGTTCCAGGACTTTTTCAGAGAGACCTGTTTTATGGATTGATGTGTGCTTGTTTTGTTTTTTTTATCAGCCACAAGATTGATTGCCTGCTTCTAGAGTTTTCTCAGACATATTGGCCTTGGTACAGTGTTTCTTTTGCTTGCACTCTTCTCTTAAGAAGGATTTAAGGCTCGCTCTCACATTTATGAGAGCAAGTGTTGTCAGGTCCTTGTGTGAGTGAAACATGCCGGCGCTGTAAAATGGCAGCCTGTTTCCTTAGTTCCCACTTGTTTTTGTTCTGTATCTCTTGGATTCAGATGTGAAGAAAAACACATGTTAGCGTCATTGTTAAGAATTTCCTCCAAGCCATTACACAGCAACAGCCATGGAGCAAGTGACTGTAGCTGGACGGATGTCATTAATATTCTTCTCATCAGATCAGTCAAACATCTGCATTATTTTATATTGCAGAAACTTAGAGAGGTGATAAAACCTTGACTTCGGAATACATATCTATAACAATGTGATGTTTATATTTACCACCAAGGTACTTGGGCCAAAGCCACATGGCTGTCATCAGTGGCTATGAAGGACAAGGTCTCTGATGTCATTGAGGTGCGTCTAGCAGAGGGCCACGTTCAGGTGCTAAGGAACCAGAAGGTCCTTCATTTCACAGAGCAAAGGTGGATGGACGTACGTGGTGAGATGATTTACACAATTCTAACCAGCTGCACATTAAACATCTTTAACTTAGATGGCCCTAACTGGCAACAAGAGACACAGAGAGATTTTGACAATTTAAAGATACCATTAAATATTGAAATCTGACGTCAGTAACACCTTGTCACTCTCCTTTAAGTTATGTGTTTTCTATATCTGGCAAAGGTTAAGCAGATTTGATTCACCACTTCTTGTTCTGAGGTTTTCCAGCAGTGGCCATACCAGGCATAAAAAGTCATTCAAGCCATGTTTTTTTAAAGATGACGGGATGCTCTACTTTCTACAGCTAAATATTGCCTAGTGGGTTGACATCTACTAAAGTGCCCCATTTATGTCTTACCATGCCATTTGTTTATTGTAAGTTGTATTATAAGTATTGTAGATTTTAGTGTATTTACCACGAATTTCCAACACAATCTCTCTTTTCTAGGAGGTTTTGTGTTCGCTCCCTGTCCTCAGAACGTGACAGTAACCTTTCTGTCTGGAGTCGGCGTGGAGGTTCGTGTGCATGAAGGGACCATGGCAGTGACCGTCCTACTTCCAGCAGAGTTTACCAACCACACTCGGGGTCTCCTCGGTCTGATGAACTCTGACCCATCCGATGACCTGTTGACCAAACTAGGAGAGGTCATCTCAGCCGACGCCACACCAGAAGAAATCTTCACCTTTGGAGCAGGCTGTGAGTGTGAAAGACTGTTGAACTTGAACTATTTGTGAGACAGCAGACATCAATCAGATTCATCAGTGATGAAATAATCAAATCTCACTCTAAAGCAGCAGGAATGTCAAACTTAACTTCAATTTTTCGTAGAGAGTCATGTTGCATGTTAACGAGCCACATTTCGCTAAAGAGTGCACAGGAAAAAAAAACGAGGCAAACGTTTAGAGTTAGCACAGCTTAAATAGATTACAGAGAGATATCAGGGGTTGGGAGCGTACAGTGCAAGTGAAACCACATCCCTGGAACACAGTTGGGGCCAGACCGCATACATACATGATAATAATGTCTCATCTGTAATTACAGTACATATCCCTCAAAACCAGTGAGTAGCTGACTTTTCATGGACTTGACCTTTTGACTGAAATCATTTGCTTTGGTGTAAGTGCAGCAAACACCCAGTTTAAGCTTGTGGGAACTTATAGATTTTATTGTTGCTGATAAAAAGACATTTTAATCAAAAGCTGGGCCAAAAGAAAACCATGACTGCATGCTGTGTGTCCCCCGCACTGGTCTCTTCGAGTTATGTTCTTATCTCTAAATTATAGTGCCTCATATTCTCTTATTTCTAATTCCATGTTTTAGAAAATAGGTAGTTTGTGCCAAGCACAATGATTGGTCAAACATGTGCTGCTAAGTTGGAAATTCCCATAAATGTGATTAGCCATGTCTGATTGGTTGCTATGCTTGTCTCCATTTGCCCATTCTTATACATGCTTTAATGCTTTCCTACTTGAACTTCGCTTATGATGTATTGGGTAACAGATGTAATGCAGTTGAGGATGTTCTCTCGTGTGATTATGTATACCAGTCTGAAACCTGTAATTTGTTTCTCTAACCAGCAACAATCCAACATAGTTGCACACCTTAACAGGTGTTGCGTCTTCTGTCTGCAGGGAATGTTTCAAAGAAGTCTTCCCTGTTCACGTATGACTCAAAGTACCTTTTGGATACCTACTATTTCCGACCAAGCCACGATCCTGCTTTTGTTCCTGCCTTTTCTATACCTGAGAGACCTGATGACCCTCTGGTGGCAGACATGTTGATGATGTGCTTTGGAGAAGGAGCAAAGTTCTGTAAATATGATACCCTGTCCACCAGGAGCCTCACAATGGGAAACGTCACACTCAGGGCCTACCAAAGTCATCAGGCCCTAATGGAAGCCCTGGAGCCAGGTACCATGTGAAACAAGATCAATCCCTGGCCATTCATTCAGTCTTTCATAGGCATAAATGTGGATACATATTTATTTACATATTTTAATGCGAACTGTATCATTTGCGGGTGACTAAGGGTTTGTGTTTGGTTTATCTTTGAATAATTAATGGAATCCCTGAAAATACAACATGCAGAGCCTGTAAGAATTTGCATGTGTTTGGTTTGTAATTCATTCATACGCCAGACTAAGATCATGCCATAAGAAAGCTCAATGAAGTGAAAGCATTAGCTTTGAACGTTATATATGTTCATACATCTGCACATCTTTCGAACACATTTGGTTGCTGCTAGTTAAAACAACCCAATGGTCTAAATATTGATTTTTAAATATGTTATTGTTCCTTTAGTGGTGTCTTGTGGCTGGCTTCCCACACCCAGAAATGGAAAGAAGCATGGGACACTTTACTTAGAGGGGAAGACTCTGAGTTTCACCTGCAATGAAGGCCACAAACTGTACGGTTCAACAGAGCGCACTTGTTCGGATGATGGGACCTGGACCGGAGAGCAACCCTACTGTATAACAGGTTGGTTTCTAATATGACAGCAGCTGGTTGTGTTGAGTAAACTATATTGTGTGTGTTTGAGAAAAGCACCGATATTTTTAACTCAGACCTATAGAGTCTATTATAAATATTGGCATACAGTATAAACAATACAGAACTCTCCTAGGTGGTCCATTAACTGATACTTAAGAGTTTTGAGAGTCAGCTGCATGATAGCATGGCATTCATGAAATATTTTTTGGGCAATCAAACCACAACAGTACATCAGAGTATCTAGCACACATGGATGTTGTGAAAAGGATAATGTGAATTTGATGTTTTGTATTAACAAATATACATATTCTTAAACACAAACAGGGAGAGACAACAGTCCCTTCTGGCAATGGCATCACCACATGACAATGACATATTTGCAAAAAATAACAGAAAGTTATTACTTTTATTAATTATGTATTCCAGGCACATTAAGTCTCTGCATGTTGAGTTTTATACTGTACTGCATAGAAAACCATGTCTGCATGGAGGGTAGGAGTATAAAGTGTAATATTCTTCCATTACAAGTAAAATGTAATATAAATTGGGTTTAAACATGCAAAAACGTTTGTATGGTTCTAATTAGTGTGTGAAGTATGTGTTGTTCTTTTTGTTTTATTCATGCATGATCTAGAAAGATACTACATAAACAAAGTTGCTTACTTATTACCAGCTAACTCCTCACATGTTTTATATTCAGTATGATTGGCAGCATTCTCTAATGAAAACTGAGAGGGACTCTGGGAATCCTCTTCTTCTCATCCAACCTCTTTGAAAGCAAAGATTCAATAGACTCGGCTTTCAGTTGCTCATGCAGACCATTAGCTACAAGCTGTAAACTTCTGAACTTGGATTGGCTTGGCTTTCTGTTTGTAAATTGGAAGCACCTGGGTCCTTCTAATGGTTTCATTCATCAACCCAACCGCGAACTCTCAGAGTATAGTTGAAATCATCAGCTGTTGCCATCAGGTGGCAGTATTTCCCACTAAATTCCTAGTGTTTTGTGTTTGTAACAGTGGAGGCTAATGCCTCCTTTTGTGCTCAACAGGGTGTGAAGCAGACTGCTTCTGAGGAAGCCTTGACAAATAACTGGTAACAACATAGTAATTATTCATCCACACTGCAGTGAGAGGAAGATTGGATGAAATTAGTTACTTAATCACTTAGCTGGATAAGCTGAAGAATAAAAGAGAAGGTTTCAAGAATTTCAAGGGGTTTGGCCTCATTGACCTCTCAGCTAAGTGAAGTGAGAGTGAGCAGAGAAATAAAGCCACTTGACTCGTGATCTGTTTAGGGGTGGCTGTGGCTCAGGAGGTAGAGCGGGTCGTCCACTAATCGCAGGGTTGGTGGTTTGTCCAATGGGGCAGTGGATAAGGCATACGCCTTTTGTGTGAGAGACCCAGGTTCAATTCCCCACTGTGACATGTCCACCAATGTGTCCCTGAGCAAGACACTTAACCTAGTTGCTCCAGAGGCGTGTGACCTCTGACATATATAGCAATGGTAAGTTGCATTTGATAAAAGCGTCAGCTAAATGAATAAATGGAATAGTATGCTTCCTGTCTCCTCCAGTGTCATTGGGCATCTGTGTGAATGGGATTAGTTTCTGATGAGCGGTTGGCACGTTGCATGGCAGCCTCTGGCGTCAGTTTGTGAATGTGTTTTGAGTGGTCAGAAGACTCAAAAGGTGCTATATAGGTTAATTTACAATTTACCATCCACCTCCATTTTCATGGCTTCAAGCCAGTCCTCCATTCTTTCCTAGTTAGAGCTGCAAACAGAGACTTCCTCTTGATAGTAATCAGGGATGAATAGACTTCATTTGTCAGATTTGGAGGCCCATGTAACAACCGCCTGGGTCACAGCTGGACACAACTGATCCTGACTTCTTCGTTAGGCAAACATATTAGTTTCATAACTTGGTTATCCAATTCAGATCTGTTTAGAAATGTTTCTTATTAGACCAGGTGATTTTTGTTGTTTTTACTTCCCTCTCACAGTGACATGCTTTCTCACTGTCTTGCCTCACTGGTTTTAGTTAACCTATAGTACCATACACTATACACTTCTTCTCTTGAACTAAGAGCCATACCTGCTGATGTCGTTTCTGTGCCATTACTGCAGACAGAATGTTACGAAAGTACTTTTCTTGTAAGTGTTCACGTGACGTGTGTGGAGATAAATTTAGCCTCGCTGACACATACACACTTTCATTCATGAATGTATAGATATATAACACAGTCATACAGTGTGAGGTGGAGCATTGCTTGCACTTATATTATTATGTTGTTCACACACACACACACACACACTATAACTTGGCTTTTTTAGCTACGTAGCAATGATCACACTTGCTCATTACACAAATCAGAGGTGTTGGATGAGCTGTTACCTACGCCATTCAAATGTGACCTCTAGCCATGTAAACAAAGCTAAATACAGGCCGAGCGAGAGACGCCCTAACGGATCTCTCCTCCTCCGCTTATATGAATTGCAGCAGCGTGATGTGAACACCTTGGAAATTGTAGTCATAGTTCAGATGAAAACGGCGTGCCGCTGGAGAACAAATGCCACAGCATCCAGTTTGACTTCTTCTCTTTAATGAGCCGCTGTTGACATAGCACCTGTCAGCAGAGGTGACACTAAGTCCCTTCAATCAAAAGTGAATTTCTGTTTGAGTATCTCCCATCACAGAAAGACCCACCTATTTGATATGGATTATAACCTGCTGCTCTACTTGTCAGTGTGCCTTTTAACTGCTTTAGACAGGGGTGTGGTGCATTGTGATGATCAGTGTTAATATCTTCCGCTATAAAGACGGGAATGTTGGAGAGGTGAGGGTGGGGTTTGGATAAAATGTCCTAGGAGTGTTTGTGATCTAAGCACATACAGGGCCATGGGAGACTTAAGAAGTAGAAGGTTATAGAGTTTACTAGCTTGGCAGCACCTTGTCACGGTCTTCTGAAAAACAATAGCTCTGGTTGAGTATCAGATGCATACCGACAACAGACTCACCCCACCTTCATGGTGTTATAGTATAAATAGAGTTTCTTGCGCAGAGGAGAAGACAGTGATTAAAGGAAAGGTGACAGCTGCCAGAGAGGGATAGAGCGATTTTCACAGGAAAAAGTGACGTGGGTTGCAAGACAAAGCTTCACTTAGTTTTCTGCTTGTAGTTCACTTCTCAGATGTCCCCTGAGTCCCCGTCGAGAGCCGAGAGAGTAAGAGAGAGAGAGAGAGAGAGAGAGAGAGAGAAAGACAGAGGTAGCTGGTAAATGCAAGTTGCATAGAAGACGGAGTTGTTGAAATACTAACCAAGGGCTGCTTGAGACCTTTAAACCAGTCACACTGCTTACACTTCGCTGTCTTCTTGTGGCCATTTCTGTCAATGCACAAGGTCTCTGCCTCAGAAGATCTTTGGAATAGGCTTTCTCACCTCTCTGTTGTGAATGAATTCCCACTTCCTGTCTCTTATTTCTTTTTTTTTATTCTTTCTTTTATTTCAAGTTGCCTCTCACACGTGGATGACGTGGAGGTGCTTGCGTGGTAGAAACCTTAAAGCTGGAGTGTGGGACTTTTATGTATAAATGAATGTCCGTTACATTCAAGCCCTCGACAAACAAATTTGCACAATGTTGATTACGCCCATCGCCACCAGTTAAATCTCTTTTATTAATCTGGTATCTGTGGGGACATTTCCGTGCTGGCGCACCATCAGTGATGTGTTTTATGCCAACCAGCAATGACTGGTTTGCCAAAGCTGAAGGGTGGAGCATCCATAGCGACATCGGCAACTCAGTATAGCAGAGCCTTCACGTCATAAGCATGTGTTGACAGTGTTGTGAAATTACTCTTGTCGAAAGGAGGAGACAAAATTTGTGCACTGGTTTTAGTCAAATCAGTTAACTAAAAACCTAAATAACTTCTGTCTGCCCATGTTTACAATCTAGAAGCGTGGTGTGATTGACAGTGCCAAATGCAACAATGTACTTAGTTACTTTAGTAGGCCCGGATAAAATAAAAGCTGTTTCCTTTGGAACTAGGTTTTCTCAATCATAAAACGTCCATATTCCTACGCATAATGCAACTTGGCTGCACACTGTACAGGAAATGGCTGTCTGACTGCAAGAAAAAGCGCTAAAAATATTCTAAATGTATAGTCTAAACATGAACTGAATTTCTTTCACTGGGCCTTCTTTTGGGTGGCTGAAGCTGACCCTTCCCTTAGCATTACATTGCTTTGCTTCTGTGCTGGTTCATGACTTGAGACTTGGCTTAGACTTGAGACGGATGACTTGAAAATGACTGACTGATTATTTTTTTATTAAATACTTGCATTCGCTCATTCCAACGTTTGCGGCATAATCCTGCAACCACGTGTGCTTTCACATAGCAGTCCGGATCTCCATAATTAGCGGCGTTGAAAAAGACCGTTAACGTTACATGTAATACAACAGACTTATTTACATAATAACTTAACAGGATTATGTTGTCTGACGACGGTCTGTCAGACCAACCAGTACAATAAAAATTTACACGACTCACCTATGAAGCCTCATAGTAATCCACCGATTGATTACATTCCAACAAAAATGGTCTTTGTTACGTTGTCAAAGGTCCAGACTACTAATCTACTAATAACGAAGACTAAACCTAAACACGTAACAATTCCAGGACGCTTGAGCTCATCTGATAGAGCTCTAAAAAGATTGAGAACCCCTGATACAAAGCATTGTCTGAAAGGGAGTGCATGGAGCACCTTTAATTGACTAGACTCACACATATGAGGGGGTGGAACTGGAAAGTTTATTGATAGAAATACATGTAGACAAATGATTTTATTAAAATTCTTAAAGGGGCTGTAGTTCTTCAATGAAATCACTTCTTAATAAATCAAATTTTCACTGCCTTATTGTCAATGGGCTGTCTCCTGAGTCTCAACAACACCGCAGCTAACGAAATGCAGTCCACTAACACCACAAAACAACCGTCTCCCAGCACAACACAGACTCCAACATAAATTCCACGTAAGAATAAAAAACATCAACAAAGGTTTATGTGATGAAGCCTGTCAGGACAAACAAGAATCAGATGTCGTCTTGTGAAAACAGTGAACATCAGGTAGGCTGGAGTCACCTAGAGAGTCACGTTAGCTCGCTGGGTTACACCGAGAAATTGATAAAGTTATCTGGTGCAATACATAATATGTAACGTTATGTCTTTCCACATTACTTCACCAGCTAACGCGATCCACATTACTATCCTGTGGACCACCGGTATTATGTCAAAGTGTTTATCTTAGCCTGCAAGAAATAATGTAACACTACAAAGCAAATGTGGAGCAATTTGTTTATACTAGCTTTAATGCAGTGCAGGAGCAGCCAGCTAACATATTGATGCACCTCTGTTTGCTTCGTTCAATTTAGCTTTATTGAAATTTGACCGATACTGAGGTATACAGCTTCTCCACTGTCTTGAGTCGCTATAACTAACGTGACCCACATAATATACAATAATGCAAAATAACGGCACTGAACAACAACAACACAGTTAAAGACCCATCCACTACAGCAATTTCACTTACTGCGGTCTAACATAAAGTGTGGCAACAATCTCATTATAACATTCAGTCCAGCTCACTAACCGTCTCATTATCATCTTAAACATTTAGCTGTGCTCACATTGCTGAGCCTCCGGTGAAAGATACACAAATAGTAAAGTTAGTTACTGAAAAGCAGACAGGCGATCTAGCGACGATGTAGCCCGTCGGCTAAATGCAGTAAATGTAACGTTATCATGTAACGTGCATGGATTACTTCAATGTCAAAGCTTATAAAAATATTACTGTAATGTTGCAGTGGGAGTTTACCTGAGTTTCCAGCATGTTGTGTGAAGCTGTCTCCCTGTCAGCCTTTTCATCTGGGAGTATTGTGCCAATATGCTGGCATGCTGCGCTGTCTGAGCCGGGAACGTTGAAGTATGAAGCATGTCTGGAGAAAAGCCACAGCCTGCATGCTGGTGTTTCCATGTTTATTGTGGGATCTCTGTATGAAAGTGGTTGTGTTTTTGATTATGCTCACTCATGAGTTAGACCGAGCACGCGTACGAGCGCACACCTGGTTGCAATCTTAAAACCGCACCGCTAGTGGTCGCTAAAAAAAACACATATTACCTCTTTAATTTGGTAAAACAACAAAATGCAGTTTGTTAAAAACATACACACAGAGACACACATACCTGGCCTTAGGGTCCAAGACCACAGAAAATTTAGCTGTTAAAGCTCAGTCTAATTCCTTTGGACACCTTTATCTTCCAGAGCTGCTGCAGCTGCTGTGTGTACATTTTCTATTCATAAACTCCTCCAAGAGTGTCTGCGTATGAATCTCTGACAATGAATGGAGTCAAAAAGGTTTAGAGACAAAAAATGTTTTTGTTGGCTACTGCTTGGCGTTGTTTTCTGAGTGTGTTTATGCAACTGGGTGCTTGTTAAGTTTGCACTTGGAACATTTGATGTCTCAAAGTTTGCTGTCTGACACATGGCTCAAATTCCAAGAATACTTCCACCCTTCACATTAAGTCAGACAGGGTGAGACACACATATCAGATGACAACAGTAGCGTGGTACAAAGACACACAAAGTTACCAGGGGACGGAAAAAAATCAACAGGATTATTTTAAGATGATATCAGCTCTGTCAAAAGACTCATCTCTATCTTAAGAAATGCTTTATGTGATAAGACCGTAGCTCAAGGGTGTATGGACATGGTAGGGTTATGAAAACAGTCTTGGATTTCTGATTGGTATCGTCTGTTTGCAATTTCTTCATGAGATAAAAACTGGAAAAGGGATTGAACAACGCAACGAGTTTTTGAGTTTGAATGTGTGCGTATTGTAGTAATTACTTGTGAAATATAATTACTTTTATCTATTTATATCCAATTTATATTTTTATATACAGATGATAGAAATGGGTGATATACACTACCATCTTTAAAATGTATAGAAAACACCTTCAACTTCAGTCCAGCCCCATGATGTCTGTCACGTGTTAATCCCCTCTCACTGGTAATCGACCAAACTGAGTGCTATTGCTCTCAGTTTGGTCTGGAGATTTATTATTTGATCAATGCAGGGGTTCAGTTGAGTAATGAGATAACTTTGGGTTTTACCAGCAGGAAAAAGGTGAATGATAACACTGATTGACTGCCAGTTTTCCACATGCTCCCAGTGCAATTTTACTCCAGTCGCACTGATTCAGAAAGGCTTCACCGTGCAGCAGTTTGATGCCAGTGCTGCTGCATCCAAGGCCTGGCCATGTGTAGCGAAACTGATTGGTTTAGAAACTTAAGGGAATATGTGTACATGTGAGTATGTATTTCACTGTGCCTCTGCATGCGTGTGTGTGTGTTTCTGTTTGATGTTCCAAGGCTGATGACATTTTAAAGGACCAGCACCTGCAGTACCTACCTGACAAACATCTACCTCACTTGACATATGTTCGTGCATTCATGCGTTTGAGGATGACAGTACTTCATAATGTCTGTTTACTTGCCTGTCTCAGTAAATAGTTTCAAATATGGTTCACTGAACTTGCTCCCAAGGAACATTTTCAGATGTTCTAATTTGATGACAACAGTACCAAAGCAACAATGTGAAGGCAACTGCTGGAAAAATCCAGCAAATGGAGGCTGAATCAGTCCATCAAGCATTGTGCTCATTATGTGTGTTTGAAGCCAGTGTATCTTTTTTGTTTTGTTTGATCCCCATGGTAATTATAACATCTGATTCATGCTTTTGCTGATATACTGGCAGAACACAATGGCCTTTTGTTGGATGGCTGTGCTTGACCTGCATGTAAAAACAGGGAAGAACACCTCATACACTTGTTTTTACTGCATGTAGAACTGGGTGATGTGGATAAAATGCTCTGTCACATCTAGATTTATATCTTGATAAACATAATGATAAAAAAAAAGATCTGGAAATTGTGGAAAAATTAAATGCCCAGGAATGTGTTTTTTTGTTTCAAAATATCAAGGTCTTTAGCAAGTTGATGAAAGAATCTAATAGATATAACATTTGTCATAAAGCAGTGCTGCTCAGTAATTTCTAACATTACCCAGTATGGCCTAACACAGCCAAATATATAAATGAATAGCTACCTGGGCACTAGCACTTAAAACCTCAGAATCACCTCAGATTTGATCAGCGATTCAATTCTGTCTTGTGTTGAGCTTGTTGACGAATCATCCAATCAGAGATTAGTAGGTGGGGTTAAAAATTGGAACATCACCTTGCTAGCTACCTAGCTAGCTATATTGATGAAAAATAGCTACAGAAGAATGGCGAAAGGCGTTGATGAGATTGGCACAATGGTTCAAATAAATACGTCGATTTAAAAGAACAACTTGATTGATCTGAAAAACTTTACTGCTCCAACTGATCAGTACCACACCAAAATTATATTTGCAGGACAAGTACATCAGTAACACTAGCCATGTTTCCATGTAATTGTCATGCAAATTTTAAGCGTACTTTTGAAATGTTGCAAAAAAAAAAAAAAGACATTGCGAAATATGTGGAGCGAATAAACCAGGCAACGACAAGCGTAGTTATGTCAGTAGTTGACGTTACACATGGCTGTAATAAACAAGACGTATTGGTTCCAAACTAGAAACAAAACCAAAAACTCGCATGAACCTGATGGCCACTGATCTTACAATGGAGAGAGGTCCTCTGAAATGTGTTTCATGCGGTCAAGTTGCTACCAGCCATGTCTCTGCACGTTATGGGAATTTCCGGTGTTATGCCAAGTTTTGCATGCCTGCCGAGAATTGCATGCATCTCCAAATAATGCTTTTAAATGCTATAATATCCTTTTCTGGGGTTCATCAATGGTAATAAATGATTCAAAGTATATTTCATATATTTCATAAACGTTTAGAGTTGTAAATATTTTATTTCACTCTGTAGAAGTAGCCTAGCATTCATGGAGATTCAGCAAAAATATGCGTTGATAACTAACTGTTTGATCAGTGTGCAAAGCAAAGTATCTGAAAAGGACCTTTAAGAGTTGAATGCATAATTCGGCAGAACAGATGATGAAGGTTACCTGCCGAGATTTGCATCCGCCTCTTTTCTCAGAACAAATGAGAGTAACAGCCACAAGGTGCATGAAATTCTCAGCAGGCATGCAGAACTCTGCACAACCGGGCAAGATGCCGACAGCAGAAACAGCTGATCAGTCGTGAGTTACAAGTTCGCTATGTCAGAACTTATTCGGAAAAAGTGTTTTCATCTCCAATTTAGCGCATTAACTCTTTTTAGACAAAGGTAAAAACCACCTCAAGCGAGCATAAAAACTTTCTTGTATATTAAGGATTTTTTTTTTATTTTGACGTTTCCATCAACCTTTTCTAATGCGATACAACACAAACAGTGTGGCAAAATCAATTTTGCCAACAATTGACACATTTATATTGTTTCAACCATACTTGAATGTCAAAATTGTAAGAAATGGACAAGAAGAGATTAGATTAGATTGCCATAGACTACATGGCTACCAGAACACCCTCAGTTGGTCTAGCAAGTGTTTTGTTCCTTAATCCTTTATTTACCCAGGTAAAACAGACTGAGTATGTATGGTAGATTCAGCCACACCTAGCTACATGCTCAGACTGTCACACCCTTCCTTACCTGGGAGCTTCAATCGCATTCCTCTACTGTTGGCTACTGAGGAGCTCCACAGGATGCCTTGCTCAAAGGAACTGTGACTGTGGATTGATCTTTCCTCTTACGTTTTCCCCCATGCTTCTACTTCTAACACCAATGATTCCCTGCTCACCTTTTGACTCTGTATTGATTCATATTAAAAGCTATGGAGGATAGATAGAGTGTTTAGAGGGATGGGAGCAGTCACTAATTCTGTGTTGGTATGATTTTCCCAGATGATATCCTGGGGTTTGTACTTGGCGGTGTTGGTTCCCTCTCAGTACTGGTCACCATGGGAGTAATGATCAAACTGAACAACAGGAAACAATACAGGTGGGTTCATACTTGATTCACTTCAAGATTTTGCTATATAGGAAACAAGACATATAAAAGAAGCAAAGTCAGCAGTTTAAGTTGTCTTTTAAACTTGATTGCAGCAGCTGATAGCTTCTTTCTCTTAATTTCAGAGTTTTCATCACCCAGCCGACACTGTAAATATGACTTAACTACATGTTTTACTTCCTCCTCCGGCTATTGGATTTTGCTTTCCTTAAGATTTCAGTCTGGGTTCATTTAGTAACACTTGTGGTGGTTACCATGGCAACGGCAAATGTGGGTTAATACAGGTCTGCGCAGCAACTTTGTCAAAAATACAACAGAGGAGCAACTGGTGGGTCTGATTACAATGGACACAAACAAACTCACAATGCTTTCATAAAGAATACAGTCAATAATCGTTCTGTTTCCATCATGTGCCGCCACGATCTGATTTCATGATTGACACAGCACGAGTAGATTTCCACACAACATCAGGGCATAGTGAAAGGAGGTGGTTACCTTACTGGGAAATTGGAGAAGTGCAGCCAGTCGCCTGCATCTCTTCATCTAACAACTCGCTGGTCCTTCTTGTTGTCTTGTTTTGTAAACGCATTTTTGATGAATGAAAGCGGTTAGCGCATACATTACGTTTCCTGTGACCGCTTTGCAATAAACGCCACCCTGAGTTTTTCCAGTTGAATGCTTATAATGTAAAGCTGCAGCAGGGTTGTGATTGCATAAACAGTACAACCAGCAGTACAGTTAATATGGTGCACAGTAAGCCGTGTAGCTGAAATCAAAGAGAGAAAATGACAAACAATATCATTGGATTACATATACATGCATTGTTTCTTGTGAATTCCTTGTATGTGTGTGGAGGCAATATAAACACTGTGTGGGATTGGTGGACTCTGCCACTAACAAGGAAAACTGCTGTGAATAGCTGAATTTTTTTTTTGCTTTATGGCTTAAACATCATTGACTGATGTCTCCTTGGATTTGATTTAAAGGACTAAGCCAAATTTGTTCAAATCGACTGGATCAGGAGATTTTGACCATGGCAGCGGCTGCGCATGCAGATGCCATGGTCAAAATCTCCTGATAGGAGCCATGCTGGCTAATAGTCCGGTCTGGATTAAATGAGACTGGGGTTGGCCAAGCAACAGGAAAAAAGAGACTGTCCCGATATCCCATCAACATCCCGGATCAAGCAGTCGGCGGGCGGTCAGTGTACCAGGCTGTCACGCAAGATGAGAGGAGATGGACACTGTGTTTTACATCGATGATGCTTGGTGCTCAAACACAGTCAAGACGGACACTGTTTTCCAAATGTCAGACGTTTCAATGTGAACTATCATCTTTTTGCTGCTGTTTACATTCTCCTCAGACTCAAATTCAAAAAATGCACTGCGGAGTTTTGAATACGTGTATGTATTAGAGCCTGACTGATATGGGTTTTTGGGGGCCGATGCCGATATTAAAAAGAGCACATTTATAAGTCAATATTTTGATTTTATTTTGACAGGCCGATATTGGAAGCTGTATGTGGGCTACAATACCTTATCTTGACTGGATTATGTTAACAAAATCCTTAGATTAGTCTCAACAAATACATCGGTGTCACAGTTTGTCGTGTGTGCTGGCAGGAACAGGTTTTAGGACCCAAACGCAGGACACAGAGGCAGAGCAGGTACAGTTTCTGGGTGTTTATTTAAGCCCACAAAGCATCCAAACCAAAGTTGTCTGCAAAAACAGTCCATAAACAAATGATCCAGGGGAAGACAGAACAAAGGATAATCCAACAAACTTGGTAGCAGAGGCAGGCAAGCATGACACACGGCAGTGGATGAACATACAACGAACCAGCATTTAAACACTGGCTAACGAGGAGGGCGGGAGCACCAACAGGTGATACTAATAATGACAGCAGACAGACACAGACAGGCAGGGTGGTGAACTGACAGGAACACAGACAGATACCAAACAGGCCCAAACTAACAGAACTACCAACAAGCCTACAGACAAATACCAACAGAAATATGAATACATATAAACAGACATACAGGGTACAAAAGACCAAGGACAAAAGACGAGAATCCAACAGGAACTCAAAACACAGAACCGACAAGCAGGCGCAGGAATACAGGAGGGAACAGACGGAACACTTGACAGGCAGACATGGGGCAAAATAACCAACACAGACAGAACATATGTAACAAAATACCAGACAAGAATCTAACTCAGACAATAACAGAAACCCATGTAAACAGACAAACACCGACCAGCTATAACACAGGGATCATAACAGACAAAACCTAAACGAGAACACAGAACTAGAACACAGAGTACCGAGCAGACTAAACCAAAATGATGCAGAGAAAGAACTAGAAGCAAATACTACGACATGAACTAAGGCACAGGACTGGGAACAAAGACATGGAACCAAAACCGACTGAATAACAGGTACTGAACTGACAAAACAATAACTCAGAGAAACTCAAAACACGACAGAGTATATAACTGATACTGGACACAGGACAGAACCCAAAACAATAAGACAGATACTAAACAGACTATAAATAACATGACTGACTGAAAACAACCAACTGACCAAAACAGAACAGACACGCCCACAGTGTGACAATCGGTCGAGCTCCAGTATGTATATAGCTATATAAATAACTGTAAATTTTCTTATTTGTTTATTTTATTGTATATTTTACCATATTTTAATATAGACTTAGTGTATTACTTGAATTTATTAACTTTGTTTTGTTATACAAAAAAACAAAAAAATAACCTTACCTTGTAATATGGTAAATACATTTCCTTGATCCTTGATATCTAGCTCTCTATCTGTTTGATTTCATGAATATCTTAAGGATTATAACTTAAAGGTGCGATTAAAGGGGGTAAAATAAAATTGAAGACCTGTGGCTATCTCCCTCTATTGTGCTGTCCCTCAGTACAAACCACCAATAGAAAGGTCTCCATTGGTCAGACAAACACTGACTTATGACAAATAATGGCTTGATTTTTAAAGGAGACCTAATATGCTTTTCCACATTTTATGACTCATCTCACTGTTACAATGTTGGTTGTTAAACATGGCCTGTAAGCGAAATACCTCAGATTTCCTCCTGTTCTGAACGCTCTGTTTTGAAATGTTTTTTCTACCAACGGCTCCGTTCTACGTAACACAGAGCTAGAGGCAGAGCCCTTTTAAAGAAAGTCGCGTCATCTCCGTTCACTCCAGTGGACAAGTTTTTCACAGCAGTGGCGGATCATGGAGCGTCTGAATAGTTCCTGGAAGTTGGCATCAAATTCTAGCAGCGCAGCGGAGCTGTAATAGAAAATGCTATTCGGGATGCACATTTAAAAGGTAAGACGTGTAAAAAATGAGATCATATATTATTAGCACAACTGAATCAAGTTAACAGGTGCATTAAAGCATGTTAAATTAGAAGTTTTGGGGACAGTAACGGTTAACAAATGAGTGAGGTGGGTGAGATAGAAAACAACACATGATTGTAAATGCCTATTATACCATTTATAAGAAATCATACTTAAAATGTTGTATTATTTTCTTTCCCTTCTCTCAGTGTCTGCATCCCTTCTTTCTTCCCTTCTTAGCTTATGAGGTTATTTTCCACACAACAATTCAGGTTTATTTACCCACATTAATACATCATAGTGACTGAATGCATCATATTGGTGAACACTCAATTCTTACTAGATAAGTTTACTCTAATTACATAATTACTTTATAAATATTCATATCACAGTTATAAGTCCCTGCTAACAAACTATCTAGTAACTGATGTCAACATCCGCAGCAAAAGCTGTTAATGAAGTTCGAAAACTTAACAACGCATTAACTTTCTCAATCAAACTTGTAGTTGTTTACAAGAAAGGTTCTTCTGAAACGTCATCTACCACCAAGTCCAGTTGTTCCCGATTCAACTTTTCTTGGATAACCATGACCTGGATGAATATTTACAGATGTGTAGATTTACCTTACCCCCTCTCTCTCTCGTTCTCCCTCTCTCAGCAAAAGAATTAGGTGGAGCTTGAAGATTATCTGCAGTGATGTTTTTAATAAACCAAACATTAAGCCAGTGATGTGTTCTTTCTTTGTGGAAAAAGTACTTCACATATTTCTTTGTTGTTAGCCTCTTTAGTGATTGTAAGGTTGCTCCTGTTGACCTGAGTCAACCATTTTTTCTTCCTCTCTATGTCAGCTGGGAAACCATACATTCGTACTCCTTTTTCTGACCGACTGCAGCAGCATCTCCACACAGCACAATAAACCATGCTGTAGACTGACACTTAACATGCTGTTTTCTGAGTTTATTGGACATTTATTACATTAATACATGACAATCATTGATAGTGACCTGTCTGTTTTATCTAAAGTCATAAAGATTACATTATTCATTAAGATCAATTAACCCTGGTGCCATGGGATTACTAAAAAAAATGTTAGAAAGGTAAATCTGATCTCAATTTTAAAATGTGTTTTCAAGGCTTGTAGGCTTTCAGTGTAAGGTTAGCCAAAAAATGTCAAAAGGTAGGTGATTGTAGCTGTTATTGTCAAAAATGTATATCCTCCTTTTTAAACATAGTAATGTAACTGCATACACGTGTCAGTGTGCTGTACAAATATTGTAAATCAACACATTTATTGAATAAATTACCAGAAATCGATCAAAATCATCGTTTTGTCGTTTCTCTCGCTCATTTTCAATTGCCCACCTTTAGGACTTCCGTAAACTATCTGTGGTCTCAATGAACAACGTGACGATCAAGCATTTTGGACCCCTGCTGACGCAACTCTCTCTTTAAAGGGCTCTGGCTAGACAAGAGCATCTATAGCTTGTATCAGAAAGAGGCTTAAATGAAGGCCTACATGAAGAGTCATCATAAGAAAATAAATATTTTTTTGAACTTTGTATCATGCAAAGCTGTCATACAGGACATAGGATAGAAAAACAGTATAATAGGTCTCCTTTAACCGTCCATATGTCTTTTATTCTGTCTTTGAATACATAGATTACATAGGTGCATAGCTAGAGGTCTTCTTCTCCTCCCATTTCCTCCCAATAGTCAAACCTTTTTTGCTGTGCAAAAAAAAATTAAAAGCAATGAATCCCACCTGCCTGATATCCATCATGTCCCTACCTCCTAACCGTTACTCATAAAATTTCTTTCTGATCTGATCAAACCAAATAAACCCATATACCCTGTGGGATCATACTTATGACTGCAGTCCAGAGAAACGAGAGCCAACAGTATTGCTAGCTCCTGGGCATATACAAGCAAATTAAAGGCCTGTTTTATGGGCTCATAGACTTCATTTGGGTTTTCCCCCCACCATAACTCCCAACAGGGGAAGATGGATGTCAGGAGTCAAGAGCTACCTCCCACTCCTAGCAGCGCTTGAGACAGGCGGGTGATGAAACTGTTTTTCAAGTCAAGAGGGCAAAGAGCGAGCACACCTGCCCTCTCTTGAAGCCTTGATCATGGGAGACCAGGTGTAAAAAGAGACAAGTAGTGTCAAAAGGTCTGCAGATGTGAGGGAGGTGATCTCACATACATGCTAGTACACATGGTAGTATAGGAGACCCGGGACACACAGCCAGGAAACATGCTGTGCGTTCAGAAACCTAAATGTGTAAAGAGACATCTTATGCATTCCTTAAGTGTGAGCGATCACACTGACATGCATAAACACACACACACACACTCCACTACCAGCAAGTGCAGACACATTGATTCCTCCCAACATCAGAAGCA